AGTTCATACCTGTAATCCTAATGCTTAGGAAGTCAAGGGGGCAGGATCAAGAGTTCGAGGCCAGCCTGGGCTACATAAAACCACCCCTCTCAAAAACCACCAACCCACCCCAGGGAACCAGGTGCGGTTTCAGCACTTGGGATGGAGGGAGAAGGATACTGAGTGTGAGGCCAGTGTGGGCTTCATCATGAGACATTGCCTCAAAACCAGCCGACCAACCAAACAACATCCTCCTCCCCCAACAAGAAAACCACCAGGATTCTTACCCATTAGAAGTCTGAATACTTGATTTTAACTCCTTCATGAAAATACAAGCCTGTCCAAGGCAAACACTAAGCTCCAGTGTCCAAGGCTGGGAGGTGGCTCAGTGGGACAGCGCTTGCCTGGCACCTGGAAGGCCCTGGGGTCCATCCTCAGTGCTGTAAAAGCTTCCTCCCAGTGCAACAAAATGAGCTGCTGTGGAATATTCCTTTACATTGTGTGAAGATATGTCTCTGCGACTGGTTTAATAAAGAAGCTGACTGGCCAATAGCTGGACAGAATAAGGTTAGGCAGGAGAGCCAAACTGAGAATGCTGGGAGGACAAAGGGTAGAGTCTGGAGTCACCAGCCAGATGCAGATGGAATGTGCCATGCTAATAAAGATGCTGCCATGTGGTAGAGTGTAAATAAGGAATATGGGTTAACTTCAAATGTAAGAGCTAGTCAGTAATAAGCCTGAGCTATTGGCCGAGCATTTGTAATTAATATTAAGCCTCTGAATAATTATTTGAAAGTGGCTGTGGGACAGGAAAACCCTGCCTACAATGAGTCAGATGAAACAACCTTTTTAGGGATTGAAAATAGTCAGGCCAGGGATGAAGCTCAGTGAGAGAGGGCTTGCCTAGCACCCATAATGCCCTGGGTTTGATCCTCACTGACGCCAAATGTTATACATACACACACACACCAAAAAAAAAAAAAATCAGAGAGAATGTAGTAGCATATAATAGATAACATATAAGATAGGTGTGGGGGCTCAGGTCTACAGTCCAGGTACTTTTTTGGAAGTTGCTTGCATGGAGACTGGAGACTGAAGCGCAGAGATCTTCTTGAGTTTAAAGCTAGCCTAGGCTACATTGTAAGTTCCAGACCAGGCTGAGCTTTAAAGTAAGACCATGTTTTAAAAACAAAACAAAACAAAACAAAAAACACTATTTGAGAGATTTCCCTAGAACCCCCACAGCTCCTCATGCCTCTTCCCCACCTGTCTGAGAGGTATTTGAGGGTGTATCAACATTAGCTTCATGCAGCTCCAACTCAGGGGCAGCATAGTCACCCAATGCCCAGGGCAGGGCACCCACATTTCTTTCTTCTACTCTAGGGCTCTTGCGATATCTCTTTACATTAGGATCATCCATTTCCCCCTTCCACAGTTTGAAATATGACTGATGAACAAAACAGGAAAGGAATATAAGAAAACATGGACAGTGTGGAAGAGCACAAAGGTTTCCTGTTCTCATTAGCCCAGAATTGTCTCCATGCACACAAGCAGTGTACATCCTATGAGAGAAGATAGGAAAAAAAATCCTTACACATACATAGAATTAAATCATGAAATTAGGCAAACAAAACAAAGCAAATGTTACCTGCATATTTCGTTGGATCATAAGAAAGGACAGCCACGAAGTACTGAAACCCTTTTCTCAGTAGGGACAGTATAATATCTGCATAGCTAGAAAGAGCACAAAAAAAATTATGTTTCATTTCTCTAGACAGAGGCTGGAGGGGGCAAGAGGTAATGAAGGAAGCCAGCATTTACTATATATTACTATCTGTAGTGAAATTCTCCTAATAAACATATAAACCTGTGTGGTGGTTTGAATAAGAATGGCCCCCATGGGCTCACAGATTTGAATACTGGTCCCCAATTGGTGGAATTGTTTGGGAAGCATTAGGAAGTGTGGCCTTGTTGGAGGAGGTGTGTCACTGGGGGTGGGCTCTGTGGTTTCAAAAGTCCATGCCAGGCACAGATAGGCCCAGTCTCTCTCCTCTCCCTCTTCCTCTCTGCCTTCTGCAGATCAGGATGTGAGCTCTCAGCTACTGCTCCAGTGCCATGCCTGTCTACCTGCAGCCATGTCTCCACCATGATGGTCATAGACTAAGTCTCTGAAACTGTAAGCAAGCCCCCAATTAAATGCTTTCTTTTATAAGCTGCCTTGCTCATGTTGTCTCTTCATAGCAACTAAGATGACCTGGTTCTTGTGCCCCAGGTTGGCCTCAAATTCACTATGGCTACATTGACCTTGAATTTCTAATCCACTTTCTAAATGCTGGGATTATAGGCATGCGATACCACATAAGTTTATGGCATGCTGAGGGTGGGAACATGAGCTTTGTGCGTGCTAGGCAGGGTTTTGTTTTGTTTTTTGATGTGTGTGTGTGTGTGTGTGTGTGTGCTCTGCCCACTGAGTGACTCAGTAAGTCTGCTGTTGGGCTCAGTTGCTGACAGTTAACAAATATCCCACGTGACTAGGACATCTCTAGAGGCATACATGTGAGGAGGGGCAAAACAGAATCCCTTTCATCTGGTTTGATGGAGCCGTGAGACTAGTGTGCAGGTAAGTTTGAGGTGACAGACAATCCAAGTTCTATAAATACGGCATTAGCCACCAGTGCTGTAGATGGTCTGTTAGTGGGTGCCACAAAGAGTGAGCGACACACTGAGTAAGTCAGCCGTGGTGGCCATGGTGAAAGGTGCTGAGTGATGCTTGGAGCTGAGGAGGCTGAGTGTCGTCAGTGAGTCAGATGTGTGAGAAGAGAAATGGCAGAAGCATGCTAAGGGTGGTGATGCACACCCACAGTCTTAGCAGCTGGGAGGCAGAGGCAGGAGCACCACAAATTCCAGGTCAGCTTGGGCTATACATGAGTTTGAGGATAGCCTTGGTTTCATCTTGAGACCCTATCTTCAAAAAAATTTTTAAATAAAAAAAAAAAAAGAAAGAAAGAAAACAATCTTTTGAGCAGAATTCTTCACTTTTTAACTTTCTGACACCCCCACCCCCAAGGTAGTTTAAATCTATAGTGCAGGCTGGTCAGCGCAGTCTTAAGAACAAGATTCTTGTTCTTGAGAGGTGTAAGGAAAAACTGTCCCTAGGACGGTGACCCATCAGAGTGGCTCAGCCATGTCTCTTGGAACAATCTGATGGATTGACAGCCATCGATCCTCTTGGAATGTGGACTTTCAATCAGTATCAAAAAAGCCATCCAGAAAGTGGGCTGGAGAGATGGCTCAGAGAGAGCACAGCCGCTTGGTGGAGGACCGAAGCCTGGTTCCTAGCATGCACACTGTTGGGCTCACAACTGCCTGCATGTTCAGCTCCTGGGTATCCAATGCCCTCTTCTGACCTCGACGGTCATCCACCGTGTGTGCATACACACACACAGATGTGCATGTGCATATACACAAGCAAACCAGAATTAATTCTGATAACAATATCCAACATGCTCCTGAGTGTGCTTCCCCTGTGACCACACACACCCCGAGAGGAGGGTGGGGGAGGAAGAGGCAGAGCGGGGGACTAGGGAGGATCTAGACTCTCTGGCCAAGCTAAAGCTTGATTCTCTAAGTAAGCCTCCCCTTGGGTGTCACTTGCCTTGTTAGCCATGAACAAAGAGGGTCAGAGTCCACTAGGGTGGCCTTCACAGCTAAGGACAGAAGAGCAATTGCAGGAAACAGTGCACTTGTCTTGCGTAATGTATAGCTTAATTTTCTTTATTTAGTCACAATAATTACAGAGACTTACCTGTGGGATGGTCTATATGTCAAATGTGTTGCTGATTGGTCAATGAATAAATCACTGATTGGCAGTGGCCAGGCAGGAAGTATAGGCGGGACAAGAAGGAGAATAGAGCTGGGAAGTGGAAGGCTGAGTCAGAGAGACACTGCCAGCCGCCATCAGGATAAGGAAGATGTAAAGTACCGGTAAGCCACAAGCCATGTGGCAAGGTATAGACTAATAGAAATGGATTAATTTAAGCTGTAAGAACAGTTAGCAAGAAGCCTGCCACAGCCATACAGTTTGTAACCAATATAAGTCTCTGTGTTTACTTGATCGGGTTTGAGCGGCTTGGGACTGGCGGGTGAGAGAGTCTGTCCTGACTGTGGGCCAGGCAGGAAAACTCAAGCTACAAATGGCGCCCAATGTGGGGCTCGAACCCACGACCCTGAGATTAAGAGTCTCATGCTCTACCGACTGAGCTAGCCGGGTGGCCAGCAGCAAAACTCTAGCTACACTTACCAGCATTAAATGTGGATCAAGTCCAATACTGAGGGAACAACTGAGCCCAATGGACCTGTTTTCCCTTTGGTCTGAACTCAATATCCTGCTCTCTCCCTGCCATCCTGTGGACTTTCATAGAGCAAACCAAAATCCATGAAGGGACTAAGCCCAAAGAAACAGAAGAACATGCTGGAGGGGGTTCAGGAAATAGCTACTGACTTAAGCATTTTGCAGAACTGAATGTGGTCCACAAATATAGTGTGATATGAAGATGCAGGAGTTTCAAGTGATACTTTGAGCTGATGAAGGACAAATGCAGAGCACTCACTAGAAATGTGATGTGGATATTTGGAAGAGCTGGGTAACAGAACTGTCATGGCAAAAGCCATGCCCACTTCCCCAGCACCTGACCCCGATCTGATCCCAAGTGAATGTTGGGCTTCTAAGACATTTCTGTTTAGAAGTTTATCTTCTTCTTGGCACAAAATGGCCTGCTGGACAAAGAACTGCCCTTGCCTCAACTGTTGACAGTATGAATGCTGTCCTTTCTGGATGAGCAAGACACAAGGAGAAGTGACTACTGAACCTTGCCAAGACAGAGTAAGATGGTCTTTCAAAATTCCTGCTTCTATAGCTTCTCGGCCTTTTGGCTAAGATCAAGTGTAGTATCTGTTCTTATCAAAAAGTCCCACTTCTAAAAATAATCTGTCAGATATTCTAGGCCTGTAGCCAAATTGAATGCCCCAACGATGCTGAGAAACTTTAGGTGACTGTCCAGACTGCCAGCTGCCTTTGTCTATTCTCACAAGAATTTCGGAATTTGCTTGCTTGCATTTTCCGTTTTCTCAGGTATTATTATGTTCCTTCTCAGGTCTTTGATGGAGTTGAAGACTAGATAGTTACAGTTATAATCCTCTCATATCTTAGCTAAGAACATTTTAGATACTAAAGTTAGAATCTTCAGGACAGGACAGCTATCAAAATAATCTTGGTAATTTGCCATTTACCTATGATCTGGACATTTAGCATGTCTTTCTTGTTTGATGTTGTTCTTGTTCTTATAGTTCCATTTTTGTTTATGTTATTACCCTTTGTTTTTCCTGGACAATATTTGATAATCATTCTTATTGTATATAGTTTGCATTAAGTTTAGAACCTTCTTATTTAGACAAAAAGGGGAAATGTAGTGGTATATGCTCCACCTATGACCTTGGGCTATAGGACCTGAAGGAGGCGGTGCTTCCTGCCATTATATGTGACCTCTTACATCTAAGAATCTAATGGGAATGTAATAAATAGTTATTAGAAAGCTGAATACAAGGAACAGAATACAGTGATCATTCAGGGGCAAGCATTGCAGAGAAAAGCCCAGATGAGGAAGCAGAGTGGGGTGGGATGTAGGTAGGAAAATGAGAGGAGAGGAGAGAGAGAGAGAAATTATCAGTGAAAGAAAGAAAATATGTATATTTCTGGTGTGGATGTTCTAATTTTCAAAGATTAGGTTTGGCAATAGCCTTACATATAATGCAATTGATTTTTTTTAATTAAAAAAAATATATGTCCCTGACTCAGAGCTTGAACTTTTTGGCCATGTGTTAAGAGCCTGCCTCTATTTAATGAGTAATTCAATATCTAACCTGTCAAATCCAAGGAGACACATATGTGGCATTATTTACACAGGAAAAAGGGATTGCATTTCCCTCGAATGCTTTCTTTTTTTTTTTTTTTTTTTTTTTTTGGTTTTTTCGAGACAGGGTTTCTCTGTGTAGCTTTGCGCCTCTCCTGGAACTCACTTGGTAGCCCAGGCTGGCCTCGAACTCACAGAGATCCGCCTGGCTCTGCCTCCCGAGTGCTGGGATTAAAGGCGTGCGCCACCACCGCCCGGCTTCGAATGCTTTCTTAATTTTGCTTTCTAGTAAAGCTAGGTATAAATATGATCACCATATTTCTTTTCTTTGAATTCCTACAGCAACTCTTCAAGGTCATGTGATGTGGAGATCTGAGCAAACTCAGCAGGTTAGAAGCTTAACTGTCAGGTACTAGCTGCCTAAGTTGGGACACGTCTCTTTGACCTTAAATTTCTCATGTGCAAATTGAAATCAAGACAGCATCTATGTCATAGGGCTGTCAGGCTAGTTAAATGTGTTAACACACACTGAATATTCCAAACAATGCCTGGCACAGGACAAGAGTCCAACAGCTGTTAGCCACAGTGATGGTGCTAGCAGAAATGGTCTCAGGTTGCGGAGGAGTAAACTGAGGCTTAGAGAACCACAGCACAAGGCAGCAGAGCTTGCAAAGTGACAGAACCATTGGCATCACACATTCTTTAGCTTCCCTCAAACTCAGGTAAACACAAAGAAAACCAAAACAAGTGAAGAAACTGTGCTGGTGGAAGGCCCACCTCTCTGCCCAGACCCTGCACCTCAGAAAGTCCCTCCAAACACAGCTCCTCCCCCAGAGATGCTCAAGACCACTCCCACAGGGTATTTAAACTGCCCCCCCAGAAAGTAGACACTTGGTTTTTCAGTCTCTTGTCCTTGTCTCCTCTCTGGGGGGCCGGAGAATCATCATTAAACTGGGAATTTTTTCTAATTTGGTCTGATTTGGATTGCTGCATCGATGGAGAAGTTTATTGTGGTGCAAAAACTTTTCAGAAACCAACTTACCGATCATGGTCACCTGGATTGATAGCCACTAATGATCCTCTATCCCAAATCCTGTCAAACTTGCCAATATTCACTCTGCTCAAAAGAGAGGAGAAAAGTTGTTACATTTTGTCTAAAAAAGGTCAAATATCAAACAAGATGTCTGGTGTTCCCCAGGGGACATGTTGGGACCTCACCCATCATCAAGGTATCAGGATCAAATGTTGGCTTTTCTTTATAGACTTTAGAGGGGTATACTGACCCACCTAACTGTGGACTAAGGGGACTGTCCACTTCCTAACTCCCACAGCAGTCTCCTTGTTTTGTTGTGACTTGGGAAAAGAGAGAGGACAGAGGGCAGCTGTACCAAGCTTTCTAATCTGCTGACAGCTCACAAATAATGATATAGATACTTATTATTTATTATGAAAGCTCGACCTTTAGCTTAGGCTAGCTCTTATAACTTAAATTAACCCATTTATATCAATGTACATTCTCCCACATGGTGTTATCTCTCTTCCATCTATCACTTCCTCCTTCCTCTCTGTGTCTTGCTGGAGATTCTGCCTTTCTTCTTCCCAGAGTTCTCTCTCTGCCTGGAAGTCCTGCCTATACCTCCTGCCTAGCTATTGGCCATCCAGCTTTTTATTACACCAATCATAGCAATACATCTTCACACAGTGTGCACATATCCCACAGCAGGCAGTGAGTGACAGCTCTGTTCCCTGCCCCTGGCTCAGGCATCAGGCTCTGTCAGGTACCATATTGCCTCCTGCGCCTTGTAATTCATTTGGTTACAGGCTCAGGTGCCAGGTGGACAACACAGTTTTCCTCTCCTTTCTTTAGCTGTTCTGGATCATAATAATGATTTGGAAAGTTTGAGAGCTATCCCCATTGCAGGGCATTTTCCCACCAACCCCACAGCTCCCCAGAGTTTTCTTGAGTGAGAGCAGCAGGAAATATTAGATAGAAGGATTTAGATTGTGGAAATAAACAGATAGAAAATACAGGATAGCCTCAAGAGGGCCTGGAACCTATTCCAACGGGCCCTGTCTCTGCCCAAGGGTTTTTATAGAGACGCCAAGGGGTGGAGCAAAAGACCTCCTCCCCCAGCACAGCCAAGTGCAGACCATCTCAGACACCTGCACTCAGGCCTGTAGTCCTAATCATCCTCTCTATGCAGATCTGCTGAGTAAAGCCACGAGGAACCTGGAAATGGGCTCCCACACCCCATGAAGTGGAAAGATGGGGGTTTGGTAAGAACAGTTGTAGGACAATAATTCTTGTTGCTGCAGAGGTAGACAGGAGTGGTGAACAGATTCCCCATTCCACCCCAGCAGGGCCTAACAAGACCCACCTTCATTGTTACTGTTATTACTCATTGTTATTATGTGTGGTGTGTATGTGTGTGCAAGCACATGCATACTAAGGTATGCACATGGAGGTCAGAGGACAACATTCAGGAGTTAGTTCTTCCTTCTACCATGGGCTTTGGGAACTGAACCTAGGTCATCAGACTTGCATGGCAGGCATTTTTACTCTCTGAGCCATCTTGCTGGAGCCTGAAACTTGCTATCTAGATTGGGTTGGCCTCCAACTCACAGAGATTTGCCTGTTTTTTTTTTTTTTTGTTTTTTTTTTTTTTGGTTTTTCGAGACAGGGTTTCTCTGTGTAGCTTTGCGCCTTTTCCTGGAACTCACTTGGTAGCCCAGGCTGGCCTCTGCCTCCTGAGTGCTGGGATTAAAGGCGTGCGCCACCACCGCCCGGCTCGAGATTTGCCTGTTTTAAGCACTGTGTTAAGGCGTGTGCCACCATCCCTTTTTAAATGAACAAGTGGATGGGTAAAGCACTTACCACAGAAGCACAAGGGCGTGCGTTCGGATAGCCAGAGCTCATGTAAAAGCAAGACATGTTTGCAAGAGCAGTGCTCTTATGGTGAGATGGGAGATGGAGGCAGGAGAATCCAACAAGTATAAAGGCCAGCGACTCTGGAGTACACAGTGGCCATGAAACCCTGTCTCAAACAGGGTGGTAGGCAAGGACTGGCATCTAAGGTTGTCCCCTGACTGCCACCCATGTGCCATAGCATGTACACATTCAAATATGTACTCACACTCTCACACATTCGTTCACATACACTCACACACACTCACATACAAAATGGTACGGATAGAGCACTCAGTCACATAGCTAAACACATACTAACATTCAGACACATATGCACTTGCACACATTTACACATATACTTCCATGTCCCACTCACACTTTCACACATACACACAACTTCACTCTTACATACTCACACATTCACATTTACATACACACACTCATTCACTCTCTCACACGTAATACACAGTGGTGCAAGGGATCACTCAGTCACACTCACACTCGCCCACCCACTCATTCACACTCACTCACACACTCACATAATGGTGCAGATAGAGCACCCAGTCCTACCTGGGAAGATCAAACAGGCTACAGCAGTACAATGAGATATTCCCCGAAGAGCTCTGTAATAAAACAATGAAAACATTTTTACACTTAGCTAGGTAATTTTTAAATGGTCAAGGAAAGGAAACAGGGCTCAGACAAAGCCAAGGAGATAGAGGGAACACACATTAAACACAGTAACTTTATTGGAGTTTAACTGTAACTTATATTTTCTTTTAAAACCTGGATGGGGCCGGCCAGATAGCTCAGAGGGGAAGGTTGCAGCCAGGCCTGACAACCGGGTTTAATCCCTGGGCCCTACAGGATGGAAGGAGAGAGCTGACTCCCACAAGCTGCACACTAACCTCTACATGTGCACCATGATATATGCACATATATATTCTACATCTATATATCTATTCCTAATATCGATTCAGCTATTATTCATCATCTATGTACCAAACTATCATCTCTATGTTTAGCTCTAATTCTATCATTTATCTTTAATATTTGTCTATCTATTATCTTTTGTTTTGAGAGAAAAATCTCACTATGTAACCTAGACTTGCCTTTGTAGCCATATGTTTTCTCAGGTCCCACCTGGCCCTATGGTCCTGAGTTCCTCCATCCTGCCCGGCCCCACTTATAAAATAATCATTCAGAGGCTTAATATTAATTATCAACTATATGGCCTCTGGCAGGCCTCTTGCTAGCTAGCTCTTATAGTTTAACTCAACCTATAACTACTTATCTATCACCACATGTTCCGTGGCTTTACCTGCATCCCATTACATGTTGCTCCTAGGATGGTAGTCTGGCATCTCCCCCACTCCACCTTTCTCTTTCCTGTCTCTCTCCTTGGGTTTCCTGCCTGTCTCTAAGCTACCTTGCCATAGGCCAAAGCAGCTTATTTATTAACCAATGGGAACAGCATATATTCACAGTGTACAGAAAGACATCCCCCAGCAAGTCTTGAATTCATGATCCTCCTGCCTCCACCTTCCAAGGGCTGAGCTGCCATTTATATGCTGAAGCCCTAGCTTATCACAGTGTATAACACATAGGTAATGTGAAGCCCTGGCTCATCACAGTGTATAACATGTAGGGGATCTGAAGCCCTGGCTCATCACAGTATATAACACATAGGTGATCTGAAGCCCTGGCTCATCACAGTGTATAACACGTAGGTGATCTGAAGCCCTGGCTCATCACAGTATATAACACGTAGGTGATCTGAAGCCCTGGCTCGTCACAATGTATAAACATGTAGGTAATCTGAAGCCCTGGCTCGTCACAGTGTATAACACATAGGTAATGTGAAGCCCTGGCTCATCACAGTGGATAACACGTAGGTGATTGGAAGCCCTGGCTCGTCATAGTGCATAACACGTAGGTGATCTGTGGTAAAGAGCAGCCATTTGACATTGGTTTAACATCTTAAGAACTCGTGGGAAAAAGTCATTTTTGGTGAGGCATGGAAATAACTAGTCACCACAATCGATACAAACCTTAAATAACTTGGCACCAGCAATTTCATTGAGTGGTTCCTCTGTGTACGAAAGATTCTGTTCTGCAAAAAATTCCCGAATCCCAATTTCACTAATTTCTACACCAACTACAGTGTGGCCCTGGTCTGCAAACCTGCAGAAAAACACAGTTGCACCTCAACTTTACTTCATATACAGCACAGAATAAAAACCATAATAAACAGATAGTCCCTCTGGCTGGGAATACAACTCGGTAACCAAGTCCGGCATGACATCATATTGCCAATTCTAGTACTGAGGAAGATAAAGATCTTGGGATTGAGGGCACGCTAGACTATTCAGCAAGACTCTGTTTCAAAATTTAAAAAATGGGTGGTGGTGGCGCACGCCTTTAATGTCAGCATTTGGGAGGCAGAGGCAGGTGAATCTCTATGAGTTCAAGGCCAGCCTGGTCTACAAAGCAGGTTCCAGGACAGCTGAGGTTACACAGAAAAACCCTGTCTCGAAAAAAAAAATCATCAAAATTGAAAAAATTATAATTAAATGAATTTTTAAAAATTGCCACATGTGGCTAGTAGTTGCCATATTAGAGTTGCAAACTTGAGGTATTTTGTGCATTTTTGGTAATAATCCTATAATTTCCATTTATTAACAATAAACATAATTGGAAAAATGAATCTCATTACCATACACAAATAGCTAATGAGCTCTATAGTTATAGATTTCACATTTTGAGGATCTTAAACAGTACCAGAAGTCTTAGAAGGCAAACAGTAGCAGGTGCACAAATATTGAGACAGAAATATGTTTATATCAAATTACATAAAAACTAGTCAGTTCTGCTGTAATAGAGTACAAGCCTAGCTAAATGTTACTACACTATGCAAAAAATTCACAAGGCTGATGGGAAAGTGAGGCTTAGGAAACAATATGAAAACCTTTGTGAGCTGAGCATGGGGGCACAGGCTTGTAATTCCAGCACTTGGGAAGTGGAGGCAGGAGGATCAGGGGTTCAAAGCCTCACAGCCATACAATGAGTTTGACACTAGCTTGAGCTACAGGAGACCCTGTCTCAAAGACCCACAATGGGGGCTGGAGAAATAGCCCAGGGGTGAAGAGCACTTGCTGCCCTTGAAGAAGATCCGAGTTCAGCTCCCTGCACCAGTATCAAGTGACTCACAATGGCCTGTAACTCCAGCTCCAGGGAATCTGATGCCCTTTTCTGACCTCCAAGGGCAACAGCACTCATGTGCACACACCAATTAACATATAGTTCAAATAAATCTTTAAAAAACACAACAAAACCAAAAATTAGGAATGAGGCAAAGGCTCAGTGGGCAAAGTGCTTATTCTCAAGCATGAGGACCTGAGTTCAGATCCCCAGCACCCACAGAGAAAGCCAGGCATGGCAGCCCATACCTGCAACGCCAGTGCCGAGAGGATCCCTGGGGCCTGTCAGCAGACTCCAGGTTCAGTGAGAGATCCTGTCTTTAAAATAAGGTGGAGATCACCAAATAAGTCCACCAAATAAGGTGGACTTTGGATAGCACACGTGTATCTGAACATACAAGTACACATACATATCACACACACACACACACACACACACACACACACACACACACACACACACCTGCCAGTGTCACAGTTGGATAAAAAGTACAGTGGAGCACTACCATCTGATGGAGTCGGTTTTAAAAGGTGGGTGTTGGGAACTGCTCTGTGTGTACTGCTGTGACGTGATGGGATGAGGGGAACTGAATGGTGAGCTTCTAACACCAAGTGTGGAGGGGAAAGGCTGGGCCTGGGGGCAAACTGAGTAGCAGGGCACTGTTTGAACAGCATACATGTGGATTTAGTCTGTTCATACACAGTTTAACTCATCGTGGCTGAGTTTGCCTCTCATCTGATGTCTTCTTCAGAGGAAATCACGGGTGACCAAAGGTGAGTGTCACATGACGTTCCAACCATTCTTTCATACATTAACTGAGAATGGAGGGCACATTTCAAAACAAGAACAAGATGGACTGTGCCTATTATCTACGCAAGAGTGCATGCTCCCAACGTGGGCAGAGCATGGACTATTTATAGTTCTAAAATGAAACATACTAATAACTTGTCTTTTATACTGCCCAGGGAATTGGTAATCTAGCATATAGAGACTGTTGTTTTCATTCTTTGTACATGTTTTTGAAGTTACAGAATATAAGCAAAGGTTATCCAAATTGACTGCATATATTCTTATTTCCCAGTCAACACATGCAGCGTTGCCTGGATACAAATAGGGCAAAAGTGAGACCCTAACATAATGTCAATCTCTCATTTTAATGCTTTGTGGCCCCTGTTCCTAGTTAGTTTATCTGCTCATATTCAATGTTTGTACATACACAGGTCAGTTACGTGAGTGAAAATTTCTCTAAGATGATAACTTACATGCAATTACAGTAGCTTGATTCTGTATTTTTATTCCAATTTTATTATTATTTTGCAGTTTTGGGAAATGAAGCCTGAGCCTGTGGATGTTAGGCAAGGACTCTCCTACTGAATTACATCCCCAAACCTTGAATTTTTTTTGTTACAAATGGATTGAGACCCCCAAAATATCCAATAAACATCTAGCTAGCTAGCTATATAGTTTCATTAATGTTGCCTAAAATCTCTGCTCCAGCCACAGAATTACCATTTCTGTTTATGGAGTTGTTTTCTCATAGGTAGGTTGCAAAAATCAGTCTCTTCTGGTTTGACAAGAACCCATTAAAACATGGGCCTAATAAGAAATATAATTCTTAATTTCATGGCCACACTTGAATATCAGGTTATAATAACCATTTAAAATTTTTGTCAATTCTTTATTTATGAGTATGTGTATGTCTCTGTATGTACGCTGTGTGTGTGTTCACAGAGGCTGGAAGAGGGTGTTAGAGGCGGTTGGGAGCCACCTGATGTGGGTACTGGGAATTGAATGGGAGTCCTCTGAAGGAGTGGCAGATGCTCTTAGCCACAGAGCTTTCTGGCTAGTCCCGTAACAGCCATTTAATATATGCTCTTAGCTACGAGTTGAGACAGTGTGGGCTGCAAAAATTTCACTCTCTCTATTGGAGACTAAAATCCAAATGCATATGTTTTGTGGGTAGATCACTGGTATTTACATGGGGGGAGGTGGAGCATTTGAAAGTAAGTCTATTTTGTTTTCACTACCCTTTTTCCCTCCAATCTTTTGTTCTTTCCTGCTCAGTGGTAGATAGAAGTCCTCAACACTTACGTTCTTCAGCAAATACACATCTTGGAGGATGTGTTTGTGGCTGTGTATTATCATGACAGCAGCGTTCTATGTAAAAAGTAGTTTCTAGGGTTGTGACTCAGGGTAACCCTGAAGTAAAGGTGGCTTGTTAATTAGGGTGAGTTCTTTTTGTAGAGGACGGTTCACTGGTTTTGTAACAGTGACTCACAATAACAAAAACCTCTGTTTGCTCCTGGGAGGAAGGGAGGGTTGAGCTGAACTCTGGACTATAAACACTGCCCTGCTAAAAGCTTGTGTTACAGTTTGTGTTTTTCTGTTGTCTTCCATTTCAAATATCCATAGTTATTGAAATTTCTAAGCTCCATATAGACATTAAGTCACATACAGAGATCCAGGAGATATGAAAAAGGAGGCTGTTCATTCCAAAATAATTCACTCCCTAATTGCCAAGATCACAGGTGTGTACCACCACCCTAGTTTTAAGCAATGCTGGGGACTGAACCCAGGGCCTTGTACATGCTAGACAAGTGCTCTACCAACTGTGCTAAATCCTCAGGTGCTCCCCCCAATATTTTGGGGTTTTTTTTTTTGGCCTTTGAAACAAAATGCAGAAAGACAAGGTCAGGCCTGACTCAGTTTACATTCTTGTTTGGAAATAGTATCTCTAATTTTATAACTATCACAGAGTCTCCTAAAAATAAAGACACTTGTATTTGAGAATGGGATTTTGTTATTGATCTTTGTATGTTTGCTTGATTGGCTTTTTGAGACAGAGTCTCACCTAGCCCAGCAGCCCTTAAACTTGCATGTAGCCAAGGCTGGCCTTGAATTCCTGATCCTCTTGCTGCCACCGCCCAAGCATTACTATTATGGGTGTGTCCTGCCACACTTGACCCTGAGAATTGTAGCTGTTTCTTCTCCAGTCCTGCTTGGGTCGCAGCTGCTCAGACCCAGGTAAACACACAGAGACTTATATTACTTATAGACTGTATGGCCGTGGCAGGCTTCTTGCTATCTAGTTTTTATATCTTAAATTAACCCATTTCTATTAATCTATAACTTGCCACATGGTTTGTGGCTTACTGGTACTTTACATCTTGCTTCTCATGGCAGCTAGCAGCGTCTCCTGATTCAGCCTTCCCTTCCAAGCATTCTCCTCTCTGCTTATCCCGCCTATACTATACTTCCTGCCTGGCTACTGGCCAGTGTTTTATTTATCAATCAATCAGAGCAACACATTCACAGTATACAGAAAGACATCCCCAGCAGAGAATGGGTTTTTTTCTTTCTTTCTTTTTTTAACCTACACATAGCCTGTTAAATATTCACCCCAGTATTACTCCACAAAAACCAGTTAATGCTTACCATTTCATCTCAACCGCTTTTCCACAGAGTGGGAAAAACACTCTCAGTCCATGCTGGCCTTTAAGAAATGTATCCAAATGCTTCTTTAATAGCCTGGGGAGAAAAACAAAGTCACAACAATGCTTGCTTTAACTAGGTCAATGCAGAGAAAGGGGAGAGTAGAATTAATGACACTAAAAACTTCTCATGAATTATCTCAGTGCGCCCAACAATGTAACAAGAAGGCAATGTTACTTATTACAACCTCCAGTTTACACTTAAAGAAACAGGGAAGCTTAAGGAACTTGCTTCATTACACAGCTACTTAGTATCAAATATGACTAACAACCTGAGTTTTCAAGACTGGGAAATAACTTCTTATTTCCTTGAGTGATACATTTGGAAAAGTCTGTCCTAATTGTTCAGTTGGAACCTCCAGCTCACTCCTGCTTGATCCCGAAAGCCCCATTCCTGTCTCTCCAAACCTCACCCTCTCAGAGAATCTCCATCAAAGGGAAGGCACCAAAGAGCCCCGTTCCTAATTTTTGGTGTTACAGCAGCTCCTCCCCCCAAAGTTGCCAGCAGCCCAAATCCCTGCCTAAAGTGGTCAGCTTTTGACCATACTTGGGCACAAACCCAGTTTGTGGTGACAAGTCATCACCCCTTGCCTACAACATATATAATCTCCCTGCTTTAGTTCCAGTGTGTGACTTCTCTTGCCTCAATTTCTGGGCCTGGAAAACTCACCCAGGACTTGCTTTGCTCACATAAACCTGTTCTTTTACTTTTCCAATTTGGCTTGATCTGGCTTACTGCGATTGTGATACAGAAAACCTATTACTGATCACCACATTTATACTCTTTTGTTTATGAAAGTGACATTAAGAAGGAGTTCTCTGGACCTGTACATTTTCAGTACTTCACAGAATAGCCTCTCAATGAGCTTAACTCTTCTTTCTTTAATTTTAATTAAATTATGTTGTGTGTGTGTGTGTATATATATGTACACATCTGTGTCATGACACATGTCTAAAGGTCAGAGGACAACTTCCAAGAGTCAGTTCTCACTTTCCATCAAGTGGGGCTTAGAGGCGGAATGTAGGCTGTTAGGGTTGGTGCCAAGTGCCTTCCTCTGCTGAACCAGTTTGCTGGCCCTCACCTTCACTTTAGAACACGTGGCGACATAAGCTTACGTGTTGCTTCAGCATTTGCTGCATGTATAAGCACCATGACAAAAGTTTGGGTGATTTTTTAAAATGAAGATGCATTTCATAACTCTAAGATGTCATTGTCTGTAAGTCATATCATTATATAATGAGAGAAATTAAAGTATGATATGCTATGGATGCTTTCTGATTTCTGAAAGGCTACATAATATGAGACAATTACAATGTGTATCTGAAAATAAACCCCAAAATGTATTTGTATATTACTGTCAAAGCCAGCTTCTTTCTTTTTCCCTTTTTTTCTTCTTCTTTTCTTCTGGAGACAAAGTCTCATGGAGCCAAGCTCTGGCCTCAAACTCCCTTATGAAGCTTCAACTTCTGATCCTCCTGCTCCCATTTCTCAAATGCTATGACAGGCATACACCACCACACCTAGTTTTGTTCAGTGCTGCGGATCAAACCAAGAGTGTCCTGCATGCTAAGAGAGATCTCCACCAACTGAGGCACACACTGCCCCCTCACCCCAGTCAATTTCTGATAAAGCATTTCTCTGTCAGAGACCAAACATGTCTTACTGATGCCCTTGTTCCTGATGAAATCCGATGTGACGGGTCACCCACTTATCTTGCCATTCTTCCAGGGTTAGTACGCGGTTCTTCTGCACTTCAGTATCAGGGTGTTCTTTCACATCAGGTGAAGTTGAATCATCCATAGTTTGTAGATAATTTTTGTCTCAGAGGCTGGTGTCTCCAGAGCCTAAATGGAAAAAAATATCTGCAATGATGTCATTCAGGAACTGTGATTCTATTGATGAACTGTACAAAACCCTTTTACCTTTGACAACAGTTTTTTTTAAATATATCAAGATCAAAGCCAGGAGTGTTGCCACCTGCACCCCAAACTTGGGAGACAGAGGCAAGAGGGTTGTTGCAAATTCCAGGCCAGCTTGGTCTATATAGTGGGTTCCAGGCCAGCCAAGGCTACAGAGCAGGACTTTGTCTCAAAAACAAACAAGATAGGCATGATGCTATATGCTTTTAATCCTAGCACTAGGGAGGCAGAGGCAAGAGGCTCTCTGTGAGTTCAAGGCCAGTCTGGTTTACATAGTGAGTTCCAGGCCAGTCAAGGTGACAGTGAGACCCTGTATGAAAACAAACAAAAAACCAAAACCAACCAAACAACAACAAAACCCAATTTTCAACATCCAATAAGTCATATCAAAAATTACATTTCAGTGAGTATAGGACTAAAAACACTTCCTTGTTATATATCAGGAAAGATGTCTCAGAGAATAATCTGCACTCTGCCCTACAAGGCTACAGAAGGAACAAAGAGAAGGCCGGCTGTAAGAAGTTGACAAAAGGAGCCTGTGATTTTAGCTTTTCTGAACCATCCAATGCCCTAGTTTCCTAGTTTCGCTCCTACTCCCACTTGTGGGGCTAGCGCGGTTAGGAGAGGAGGGCTCGGGGTTCTGCACTGCCTATAGTCATCCATTGGCTGGCCCCACGGCTAGATCAGAACTCAGCCTGTTGAACCTGTCCCGTCCTTTACCAGCAGCCCTCTGCTTTCTGTGTCCTGACATTTGGTAGGGCTTCAGGAGGGAGGAAAAAAAAAATAGACACATGGATCCAATATATTATTGCTACGCCATAAGTTTGTATTTTCAAATAACTTTCTCATAGCTTTTGGAAAGGTACTGAAGATTGAACCTAGGGGTTCATACATTCCAGACAAGCACTATGCCACTGGGCTACATCCCTGCTCCCATTTGCATAAGAACATGAACAAGAAGGGAACTGAGGGGGTAGGAACTTCATGTACCTGCAATTGCAGTTAGACTATGTAAGGAGATGCCTGCCCTTCCAATTTTTTTTTTTTTTATTTTTGGTTTTTCGAGACAGGGTTTCTCCATGTAGTTTTGGTGCTTGTCCTGGATCTCATTCTGTAGGCCAGGACGGTCTTGAACTCACAGAGATCCGCCAGGCTCTGCCTCCCGAGTTCTGAGATTAAAGGCACACGCCGCCTCCCAGCTGCCCTTCCAATATTAAGGGCAATATAACACCACAGTTCTGGGGACTGGAGAGATGGTTCAGTGGTTAAGAGCACTTGTTCTTGGCAAAGGACCGAGGTACAATTCCCAGAAACCACATGGTACCTTATGGTGGTCTGTAACCCCAGTTCCAACAGTCCAGCAGGCATGTATGCTTGTGTATACAGGCATACAGGTAAGATATTTAGTTCACATAAAGTAAAACAAATAAATCTAAAAAAATTTTCCAGAATTCCGACCTGCCCTTTAAACCACTGGTGACCATGTGACTTGAATGTAATGATTTTATTTGTGAAATGGCAAACATGTCACAAAAAGCAGCAATTTAAGGAAATGTCCTTTTGTTGCATGATTTAGATTCTGTGCTTAGGATTAAGGACACCCCCATTAACTCTGGGAACAAAAATGCAGTTCACAGCAAGTATTTACTAACAAAAGCCTTTTTCCAGGTCCTGATGTCAGGGGGCAAAGCCCAGAATTCTGAAAGGTCAGCAGGAAGTATGGGATTATTGTGGATACAGAAAAGCAAGAGAATTGCTCTTTCCCCATTTTCTCTCATCAGAAACTGTGGTACTAAAAGTTGCCCTCAGAGAGAAGTGCTCTTCTGTACACAGAATAAAGCATAATCTTTACCCTGCCTAGCTCTATCCCTCTCACCGAATCTGGTGCTGAAAGTATCATAAATACAATCACTTAGCTGTAGTAACAGTGCCTCAATGTGGTGTTCACTGTTCATTTCTGGAGAAATAAAATTATGAACACAATAAAAGACAATACAAGTGCAAAGTACGAGGATAAGAAAAGACAAACCCACAATAGTTCCTCTCATAAATGTCCTCTTCCAGCATACTCATTGGTCCAAGGCCTCCGTACCTAAAAAACACTTGTTTCCGCTTTAGGATTTTTTTTTTTTTTTTTTTTTAAACAGAGGGTCTGTCTGGAATTCACTATGTAGTCCGGGCTGATCTCTAACTCACTGAGTTCCTCCTGCCTCAGCTCTCTTGTGCTGGGTTACAGGAGTGCACCATAACGCCTGGCTTCTGCGTTTGTTTAATTTTTAAATTTCGTTAAACTGAAAAGTAACTTCACTAAAGTCCACAGATCTCGAGTATGGTTCAGGGAAGCATTTTACCCTTGGACATGTATTCTCTGAAACACACCACTAAGCACGGAGGCTACTTAATACAATGAACTCAAAGCATTTGCTTTCTGATCTCTTCCCAGTTTTTGCTGCGGTGCCCGAAGCCCCTCTTCGGGACGCGGGGAGGTGGGTCATCCGTGCTTTTCACACATTCTGAAGAACACTGTAACAGGCTCATACAGTCTTAGCAAAACCACTCACCCGCTGGGAACTTACCTCGGATGCGCCCAGCTGTCTTCCTCAGACCCTAGCCCGCCCTTCTGTCTGCAACAACCGGAGCTGTGCAAGGACGCGCAGGCCCCGCCTCAGGGGCGAAGGCCCCGCCCAATATGGACAGGTCACACCCCGGAGAAGATGTCCGGCCTCCAAGTCCTATAGGCCCTGCCGGGGCGTGAGAACCCCGGCCAGAACGCGCAGACGCCTCTGCACGCCAGGCCACGCCCAAGACACTCCGGCCCCGCCTAGGTCGTATTGACCCCCCGCCCCCGGTACAAGGACCCCGCCCAGGCCACTCAGGCCCCGCCCCCAAACCAAAGCCTCGCCCCCCCCCCCATCGTACCCCCCGCGCAAGGGCTCCGCCCAGAGTGCGTAAGCCCCGCCTTTCGCAGGTGCGGAGTTTGCGCAGTGGCGGAAATGCCCGGGGCGGGGCGAGCGCCCGGACCCTCCCACTCCCTGGGTCTGCGAGCTCCTCCCACTCCGGGTCACGGCGTGATAGGGGCGGAAGCGGCGGCGACCGAACTGCTGCAGCTGCTGGTGCGGATCCTGCCATCCTGGGCACCCGGGGCAGCGCGCGCCGCCTGGCCAGCGCTCTAAGGTAGGGACTAGCGGCTCCGCGGGCGCGCCCCGGAGGTGGCGGCGGGTTTCGGGTGACAGAGCCGCACAAAGCGGCCGGCTGTGGGGCGAGCCCGGGCTGGAGGCGCGCGCGTTCCCCGGGGCTCCCCGGCGTCCCGCGTCTGGAAGGGGTGGCGCGGGGGACCCTGTGTGAGCCGGGGCTTCCCGCGCTGAGCTGCGGGCTTTCCCACTCGCCGCTGTCTTCGAACCCTGCAGGGAGCTCCTAGCGCCTCGGCTGGCCGGAGGTGAGTTGGGGCGGCGGCTGCACCTGGCAGGCTGGCGCCGTCTCCAGCCCCAAACCGGGAGGAGGGGGACCACAGGCTGGCTTTCCACCCGGGGCTATAGGAACCCTGCAGCCGGGAGGAGGGGCCTCACTCTGGGATCCCACTCAGGGCCGTAGGAACCCTTCAGCATGGAGGCGGGACCCCAATTCTGTGCTCCCAGCCGGGCTGTAGGAACCCCTTAGCCTGGAGGAGGGAACCCCACGCTGGGCTCCCACTCGGGGTCGTGGGAACCCTCCAGCCGCTAAGGGAGACTCTAGGCTGCGTTCCCACTCGGAGCCGCGGGGAACCCCGTAGCCGGGGGGAGGGACCCTTGCAGCGTGAAGAAAGGACCCTAGCGGTGTTCCCAGCCTGGGCCGTGGGAACCCCGCAGCCAGCAGGAGGAACTCCAGACTGCCCTCCCACTCAGGGCGGCGGGGGATCCCCACAGCAAGAGGAGGGGCCCCAGGCTTCCCTTCCCACTCGGGGCGGTGGGGAACCCGGAGTCGGGAGGAGAAACCCCTCGCTGGGCTCCCATCTGAAGCAGTGGGGAGCCCCGCGGCCAGGAAGAGGGACCCCACGCCAGGCTCCCCACTTGGGGCAGCGAGGCGCCGTCGGTTTGCAGATGTAGCGGGTACCCTGCGCAGCTGCCCTGAGAACTCCCGGGATGCCTCCCCTGGGAATGCACGTCGCCGGGTCCGGTCCCAGGTGGCTGTTAGTTCGCGCAGCTGGCACGTGAGAGAGGAAGGCAGAAGCAGGCCCACCTGCATAAAGTTAAGGTTGAGTGATTTCGAACCCAACCACAGAGGCCCAAGTCCTTGAGCACGCCACAGACTACGCCTGATGTGGCGAATCCCTCAGTTAACACAGACACAACTCAAGGCCTTAGCTAGTCCCGTCCCCCCTCAACTCAGAGCAGTCCTCCTGCCTCATCCTCTCTGCTGGAATACAGAGCCTCCACGTCTGCTTTGAATGTTAACAAAATATATTGTGGTGAAAGCCTTTCGGAGGTTTTCTTCTGCGGGTACATGAGAGAATTCCCATTAATAATTGTCTTACAGACAGGGAACAATCAAGAAAAGACACGGGGCAATAGGGAATTCAGAATTGAATTATTGGGTTGGGTATTCAATATTAAATTATAGCACTGGGTCCGTATTTCTGAAACTCAGATTGGCATGGGAATATGAGGTGCCCAGCTTGCCTTATTTTAAGCGACCCAAGGGGATTTCAGTTTGTTAACGAAGAGGTTTCTAGAAGATTGCTCCATTCTTACAAATAATGCTGCCTTTTCCGTGAATTTTTACTCTATTTCGGATTCTTTTGAATTCCTGTTTTTATGAATTTTGTGGTTGGTGTTTAAACTTTTGAATAAGCTACATTCAGAACACCTGGGAGTTACTTAATTCTAAATATAACATTCACTTGTGTATTATCTTTTTTTTTGTCAAAAGAAAGCTAAAATTCTGCATTTAAAATTAGGAAGAAATGGGCTTATAAAATATTGACCACGAAGCAAATTCTATTTCTTTGGGTGTCTTTACTGAAAAAGCAGGTAGGAGGGAGCAGCTGTGTGTGGTGCTTCTCACCTGTAATCCCAGCATTCTGGAGACAGAGGCAGGAGGATTGCCAAGAGTTAGAGTAGCTAGGGCTACATGTAAAACCCTGTGCTAACAAGAAAACCAGGTGGGAAAGCATTCATTATACTTGTTTTAATAACACTTTATTTCTAAGAGTATATTGTAAAATACAGTGGCTTGCAAACTTCCAACTCCGACGATTTTCCCTTGGTTTTACTGAAGACCCAGGGACTGACGGTGGAAATGCAGATTACATTAAGCGCTTTAGAGAGTGGAAGCACTTTACGCTAATTGTATAATTAAAGATGAAGATGCACTACTTTAAAGACTTCAGATTTAATTGCTCCTACAGTGTTCTCATTTCTTCAGACATTTCTTGATGCCTGTTTGTGCCTGTTTTCCAGTGTATAGGTGTAAAGTTTTGAAATTTCTGGAAACCATGCTTGATTTTAGGAGCCATGCATTTTTGGCTTATGTTCAGTGTTGTATGAATCAAGGCTAATTTCTTATGTTCTTGAACCTCACAGTGAGCTTCAAGTGTTTTTTTTTTCTACAGTACTTACATATACTAACTAGGCTTCATGAACATAGGTTATTTACATACTCTAATATTTACATGTTCTATTTGTGGCCCATTTTATGAATGCAGAATACATGTTTTACATGTAGAGAAATGTATGTATTTTTATGTATGTGAAATTATATTATGTGACTGGTTACGTGGACATCTTTTTTGAAAGTACAAATGAGGCATGGGTTGTAGTTCAGTGGTAGAGTGCTTGCCTACAGTACAGCGTAAAATAGGTTCATTTAAAAAAGTGCAAATGGGACCTGGAAAGCCCTTGTTGTTGTGAAACAGGATATCTCTGTGTAGCACTGGCTGTCCTGGAACTTTCTCTGTGGACCGGCTGGCCTTGAACTCAGAAACCCACCTACCTCTGTCTCCTGAGTGCTAGAATTAAAGGCATGCACCACCACCACCAGACTCAGAAAGCCTTTATGTAACAATAATTGAAGGTAGATTGTATTCCTACTGTTAGTACTTTATCAGTGGAGTCCCTAGGACTGATTTTCTTTTTTTTTGTGTTGGGGATTTAATTCAGGGTCTCCTGCATACCAGGCTTGTCTTCTATTAGTGAACTGAACTCCTAGCACCCCCCACACCTCTCCCCATTGTGGGCCAGGGAGACACAGAGATGGATCAGCAGCGGGTAAAGGGCTTTTGCTGCCAAGCCTAATCACCTGAGTGTGATCCCTGGAACCCACATGGGAGAAGGAGAGAATTGGTTCCTCTTAAAGGTTGACCTCTGACCTTCACACTTGTGCTGCAGTATGTGCCTCCCCCCCCCCCCCAGTACATAAACATAAAGAAAAAACAAACCCTCTTAAAGTAGTATTCTGCATCTTAGACTATGTAGGCTTACTGTGTTTGTAGCTAGCATTATGCTGGCTTTAAGAATGAAAAGTTAAACCGCCCACAGTATTGATGTTGTAATTTCTTAGTGTAGATGTAAGAGTTTCCATGTGATGTTAATAATTTATGAGAATTGGTCTTGTGGACATGACTATAACTTACAAATGGAAACTGAGTCTTCAGACTTTTCTCCAAGGTTAACGTGGTGTGACTTCCGATTCCCGTCTTCTGTGGTACCACTTTTCTGCTCCCACAGCACTTATCCTTACAGATGTCCTACTTCTTTTTTCATTCCTTCATTTGGTGTGTGACAGGTAGCAGGATAGGAACGGTGAACATAATTACAGATCCATATGCTATTATTTACTCTAATATTCTTATTGAATATTTTCTAATAGCTCATAATCTTTCATGGTTTCAATGCTTAATTTATAGATGTTGGGGTTTTTGTTTGTTTGCTTGCTTGCTTGGTTTTGAGACAGTGTCTCAAGTCCAGACTGGCCTTGAACTCACTATGCAGCTGAAGCTGGCTATGAATTCCCAATCCTCATGCTGAGGTCTCCTCCACTGGAATTGCAGGCATGAGTGGCCACACCCAGCTAGAAGTTTGTTCTTAATGCTTGTTTAGCCATACTGTTAGCAGACTAGTTTGAAAATTCTTAAGATTTGTCTAATAGAAGATAACAGTGCTTTTTTAAATCTAATCCAGATCCTTGTATTCTGTGTAGGAGTCTTCCTGTACAGTGCCTGGTATTCGTTAACTTGTACTAAGAAGAAATGAGTTAGGTTTATCCTAAGACATCTAGATTGAGAAAACCCTAACAGGACACAGTTAGGTGGAGGGGCCGTAACAAAAACTGACAAGGTAACCCATGTAACCCTGGCTGGCCTGGATTTGTTGTGGAGCAGAGGATGGCCTGGAACTTCTGGTCTTCCTGCCTCTACCTCCCAAGTTCAAGGCTTACAGGTACACATCAGCATGCTTGGCTTGTTCTCATTTTATACAGGACAACACAGGCATCAGGAGGTTAAGTAACGTGGAAATGGGGGTTTTATGCACAGCTAGCTCCCTCATGACAGTGGCTTGAAATATCAGCAGATGCTAATAATTTAATGGTTTTATCCCCTCCCCCCCCAGATTTCCAAGAACAATGGCGGCACCTCGAGGGAGGTCAAAGAAGAGAGGTGCATTGGAGCTTTCTCTGGACAGCCTGCCTCTGAGGAGCTCCGGGCGGCAGGTACTCTCTCTGCCTGTGCCGGGGATGCAGTTCAGATGGGGAGTGGAGAGTTTAGAGCCGCACTGACAGCCCTAGCTAGTCCTTGTGCTGTCTGTGGAGGAGCTCACGGAGCAGTGTGTGCAGCAGGAACAGGAGGCTAAAGAGACTGGGGATCACCAGGGGGTGAGGGGAGAATCACAGCTGGGAGTGGCTGCTTCCAGAATGGGCCCCTGAGGCCAGGTCATGTCTGGCTTGGATGCCATTCAGGGGAATTTGGGCTTGAACTTGTAGTTGCTTGAGTGATGTTGGTAGGTTTGTTTGTAGTGAAGTATTTAATAATGGTCAGTGCTCTAATTCTTTACATTTTTTCCCCTCTGCTTTTTTTTTTGGTGAGACAGGGTTTCTCTGTGTAGCTTTGCGCCTTTCCTGGATCTCGAGCTGTAGACCAGGCTGGCCTCGAACTCACAGAGATCCGCCTGCCTCTGCCTCCCCAGTGCTGGGATTAAAGGCGTGCGCCACCACCGCCCGGCCCCCTCTGCTTTTTAAATCTTCCATATCGAAAGATTTAACTGTTTAAGAGAGGGAAAAGAATTCTTAGTTGTAAATGACTTTTTAGAAAGATTTATTTTTAACTTATGTGTATGAACGCTTTGCCTGCATGCATGTGTATATACCATATGCGTGCCTGGTGTCTGCAGAGGTCAAAAGAGGGTATTCTATCTCCTGGTATTGGAGATACAAACAGTTGTAAGCCGCTGTGTGGGTGCTGGGGACCAAACCTGGGTTCTCTATAGGAGCAGCAAGTGCTCTTAACTGCTGAGCCATCTCTTCAGTCCCCAAGGATGACTGGTTTATCTTGACTGTCAGTTTTTCCCTTAAGAAAGGCTCATGTGGCTGTTAGTTCTGAACCTACCTATCATTAAGGTGCTGTTTCTAGATCCTCTAGTAAGACAGTGAGTTATTTATACAACTGTTGTCCTGGCCAACCCTATCCTACTGGCCAGGATGCTGTTGACCTTCACAGTTAGAACTTCTGCAGCTGCGGATGTAGCTCTGTGGTAGTGTTTGCCTGGCACGCACATTTTGACCCTTACTGCTACAAACATCACGGCATTTAGAATTTCTGACTCACGTGACCTCGGCAGCAGCAAACTTGCTGTCGCCATCACCCTTTCTCTGCCAGTGAAATCTTGACCTCAGCTGGCTCTTCCACAGGCCAAGAAGAAAGCAGCAGAGACCGCAGAGGAGGATGAAGATGGTTCGTCGGAAAAGAAGTACAGGAAGTGTGAAAAGGCAGGCTGTACTGCAATGTATCCTGTGTGCTTCGCAAGTGCTTCTGAAAGGTCTGTTTGAAGGGCTGCCTTGGCCTTGTGCGTCTGTCGGCCCATGGGCGTGTGCTTTGTGGGAATGGCATCCTTCGTGCTTCTCTTCCTAAAGACAAATGCAGGAACTGTCGCCTGCTAACTCTGACTGCTTAGACAGTCACCACACACCACAGCTTCCTCGACACTCTGTGGTTGTATCTAGCCTAGTGGGAGAGATCCCATCCAGATCAGCTGGGCCATACAGTGTCCTCAGCTGCACCCAGCCATCGTTGTAGCAGTCCTGGGGCTCGAGGTTCGGGGTGTAGGACATCACAGACTCAAGCATCCGGTAGCAACCCACGTATGTTTGCTTTTTGTTGGTTTACTTCATGTAGCATGCCCGCCTCTTCCATATCCCTGTACAGTCTCAGAAACTGCAGAGTTGCGGGGAGGTAGCTCAGCTGTAGTACATGTACATGCCTAGCGTGTACCAGGACCTGGGTTCCATCCCAGTACTCTGAGAGTGGACAAGCCAGCCTGTAATCCTAACACTTGGGAAAGAGGCAGGAGCAGCAATAGTAAATTCAAGGTCTTCCTCAACTACACAGCAAACCATATGCCTGCCCAGGGTGCGTGATACCCTGCCTCAAAACAAAAACGAAACCCTAAAACCTACAGTGCCAGCTGTTGTCACACTAGTTTTGAGTGTTGTGGCACAGTTAGGACTTCTTTAATTCTGTAGAAAAATCTTGAGTAATGGTTTACGATTCAATCATAATTCATTTGAACAAACGAAACCCGTTTGGGTCCGCGCATAGAGTTGGCCATGTCGATGGTGGCAGGACTTCTCACTCTGCTGTGTCATCAGCGGTCTGACCAGTTGTATGGCGGGCCTGCTTGTCTCTATCCCGGTTGCAGCTGACCAGATGCTATCACAGTCTTCTCACACACATGCAGCTCGAAACGAGGACGGTGTGTTATTGCCTCATAAGACACCATCCATCCTCCCGAGTCTTGGTTGGACTCCAGTGCCCAAGGCAGCCACTGAGGTTACATCTGGCTGCCTGAGTTCTTCCTGTACCGTCACTGTGCCTGAGGTAGTCAGCACGCCTGTCATCCGAAATCCAAATGCTTAAACTCTAAAACTTTGGAGTGTCGGTAACCGTTATGTTTATATATGTTGCCTCTCATCCCCCTTACGTCTCCCTGTGTATGGTGCAAACATTCTAAAACCCGTGGGACAACTGAAATCTAGAACAGTTTTGATCCCAAGCATTTCAGATCGGGGACTCTCAACCTGTGTGACCTTTCAACCCATTCTACCTCCCTTGTTAGCCCCTGGCTATTAGAAGTGGAGATACTGCAGAATGGGCTGGTTAAATGAAACTGAGTGAGAAGGAAAGGCTTTATTACCAAAGCTTCATTACCGTGATTCTGCTCTTTTCAGATGTGCCAAAAACGGCTACACCTCCCGATGGTACCACCTTTCCTGTGGGGAACATTTCTGTAATGAATGCTTTGACCACTACTACAGAAGGTTTGTTTACTGACATCTCTGGGGGTGGGGGAGGGGGATGCGACAGGGCCTGGGGAGGACAGTCATAAAGCTAAAACCTGCTGGGCTACTGAGTTACTGGGCCATCCAGTGCCTGAGATGACTGACAGGAAGTTCAGTGCTGTAAGCACCATGCACAGTGGCTGAACCTGGGTGTCCAGAAACAGGAATGTACGGGAAAATGCACACATAAAGAGTAGTGAAGTCATTATCATTTATAGGAAATGAAGGCAACTGAGATGCTCATATTGATCGAATTAAGACAAATTCTGAAAGATAATTATCAGATGTTATATGCATTTTCTCATTCGTGGATCCTAGATTTTATGTAGATAACAAAATTACATAGGTATGTTTGAGATAAAGGCAGAAGCAAACTGTCTAAGGGTCTGATGAAGGGAAGAGGGGTAAGAAAAGCGGAATATGATCAACATACAGTGTGTACATGTATGAAACTGAAGAGTAAGAAATGTGATAAAGGTTGGTGTGTGTGCAGGCTTATGTGTCTGCCGTGACACGTGTTAGGTGTACGTAAGTTCTGGAGAGCTTGGCACTCTGCTGTTCTGTCACAGTGCTTAGAGGAGAGGGTGCAGACATTTGGGAGGAGCCGGCAGAGCACTGGGCAGCCACCCTCTATTTTGTTTTTTTCCGTAGCCGAGGCAGGCTTGAGCTTGTGCCTCCACCCCGAGTAGCTGGGGTCGCAGGCTTGAGCCACTCGGCCTTGCTTCGGCTTTTGCTGGTGGTTTTCTGTATTCACTCTTTTTTCTTCTGATGTTAATTGAGTGTTTTATTATGTTATTTCATCACCTCATAAATTTTAACGGTTGCTATAGGATTTACATTAGAAATTTTTGAACATTAGAAAGTTTTCTACCATGCAGGACTCTGCCCTTATTTTGTTATAGTTCTACACTGTCCAGAGCATGCTCCTCCTGCTAGCCTGTTGTAGGTGTGCAATAGTAACATCCCGGTGTGTGCCTAAGAATAGTGAAGTCTTTTATGTAAATATGATCAAAGTCCAGTGTGAAAACTACTACGTAACCTATACAGTGACTTTTCTTTTTTTTTTTTTTTTTTGAATGGTTTTCAGCCACAAAGATGGATACGACAAATACACTGCATGGAAAAGAGTGTGGACCAGCAATGGGAAGACAGAACCAAGCCCCAAGGCATTCATGGCAGACCAGCAGCTGCCCTACTGGGTAAGGGGGGACACTGTTGCCCCAGTGCACCGAGGAGCTAAAAGCATGAGCATGGGAACAGTCGTGCTTTGTGGGAAGTCTTCTCTTGGGTTATTTCTAGGCTTGTGAAAGCAAATACTTTTAAATTTTGCAGAAATCTTTGCTAACTCAGTACAGTCTAAGGAAGAAAGTAATGTCACACACTGCCATCTGGCCTCGTTTTTCTGCACCCATCTTTTGATGGACACTTGGGTTGTCTCATAGTATGAACAGGGTTACAAATAATTCGATATCTTTCTACAGTTCTTCAAGCATGTATACCTAGGGATGGGCCATATGGTCATTCTGTGGTTGGTTAGTGTTTGGTGGTCCTGGCACTTGAACCCAGGGTCTTGAACTTGCTAGGCCATGTGTTACACTACTAATGTACACTCCGAGCCCTCCTCCTCCTCTTTATTTGGAGACAGGGCTTGCTAAGGTGCCCAAGAGGCCTTGCTGCTGTCACGCTCCTGAGAAGCTGGGCTTTAACTCGGGGTCTCTAAACGCTTCCATTTCATCACTTTTGCCCTGTAGTCCGCAGTGCATGGGGGCAGATTTTTCCAGGCCATCACCAGTTCTTTTGGTTTTGACTTTTTGTTGTTGTTTGAGACAGGAGTCTAACTTTGTAGCCTTGGCTGGCCTGGAACTCACTGTATAGAGCAAGGCCTTCCTCACACTCAGAGATCACCTGCTTCTGCCTCCCTCGAGCTGGGATTAAAGGTGTGTGCCCCACATCCCACTATTTTTTCCTTTTTTTAGATGGTCTCATGTAGAGCAGACTGGTCTCAAGCTTGCTAAGTGGTTAAGGGTGACTTTGAACTCCTGATCCTCCTGCCCTCATCCTTATCAGCTCTTGTTTGTGTTTCACAATGCTAGCCGTCTGGGTGGGGGAGAGGTGACTCATTGTGGCTTTGTTTTCTAGTTCCTCAAAGCTAGTGCTGCTGACCATTTGCAAATATGCAACTCTGTTCATTTTCAAGTTAGGCTTTTTCTTCTTGTAGGAATTACTTACATATTCTGGATATAAAACCCTCATCAGCTCTTTTCTTCAGGTGGTTTTCCCTTTGCATGGGTCATTTAGTTCCAATAAATTTCAGTTTATCTATATTTTCTTTGTGTCTTTGGTCCCTGCTGAGAACTCCTTGCCAAATCTGAGGTCATATAAAGACCCATCTCTGTGCTTTCATAGAATTTTTAGATTTTTAGACTTTTAGTGTTTTAGATTTTACATCTAGGTCATTAATCCATTTTAATTTCTGGGTTGTAAATGGAGAGTTCTCTCCCACCTGCCAGTTCCTGAATAAACCGTTTACACTGGCTATGTGGGAAGGCAGCCATGACTTCAGTCATCCACATTCAGATGTGCAGTTTTCTATTTTGGAATAATGTAAGGAGCTTACGGAGATGCCACTAAAAGCTGTGTGCTCCTAGGCACACACCGCGGCTGTTTTTAGACTGAGAAGTTCATGTGGGTGCAGTAGGAAGAACTGCACTACCTGACTTGATTGGAATTTTATCATTTTCTCATCCTTTCAGTGACCTAGAACCTGACCCAAGACATCACAATTTACATTTCATGTCCATACTTTTTGAGGAATAGTATCTAAATTTAACTCAATATTTCCTTGGGCTTGAGCTGGAAAATCTTCCTGATAAGTTTTCAAAACTTTTTTTATTATCCTGTTGCCTGAGCTAGCATTGAATCAGAAATGAGCCTGATCATGTCAGAATGGGTATGATGAAGCAAGGGAAAGAAAAGAGATGCTAGACAGGGGGTTGGGGGGTGTAACTGAATGCACAAACCCCCAGGTTCAATCCCTAGGGTCAGAACATGAATCAGATCATGCAGAGACAGCAGTAGAGTGAGTGGAGAGCAGATGTGGTAGTTCAAGGGTAGACAGTTTATTGATCTTGCCTTAATTTCCCATGTAGGTTCAGTGCACAAAACCCGAGTGTGCAAAGTGGAGGCAGCTTACCAAGGAAATCCAGCTCACTCCACACATGGCAAGAACTTACCGCTGTGGCATAAAACTGAATACCATTACCAAGGTATGATTTCTGTGGTGGCCTTTTGAGTTAGTTTATGCATCAACCTGTTTGTAACTGTAGCCTGTCTTTTTCATGTGTGTGTTAATCCTTGTATGTAAACAGAAGTTCAATAACAAGTTAATTTGATCTTTCTTTCACTTTCGGCAGTTTGGTAATGGGCTGTTGGGGTTGGTTTAGTTATCTAAGAACACGGTTTCATGTCCAGTCTTTAGTTTATCTTGCATCCTCAAGTGACAAGGTGGTTGCTGTATCACCAGCCACTGTGTCTGAATTCAAAGCAGAAAGGAGGGAAAGTGCAGAGGGCAAGAGTGGTGAACCAGCCGAGTCTGCCCACCTTTATTGGGTAGCAGTTACCTGGTAGAGTTTTACTTGTGTCGTTGGCTAGACTAGAATTGTACGGCTCCGCAGACTGCATGAGGACAAGGAAAAGCTCATTTCTCTGTGTTAGCCTGTGTGTTATAACACCAGACAGAGCAGAACTTGTCAGTAAGGAGACTGGGGGAGTGGATGTGATTGGCAGCTGGGAATTAGCCAGCGAATGTGCCTGCTCTGAAATTTGGCAGTTAGTATTTAAAAATGTGTTAAATGTACTGATTCACCTAAATGTCTAAATGAATATTGGGTATCAAATCACAGAATCAAAGTAGTATTTTGTGTTTTGTTTTGTTTTTTTCTACCATTTTCAGTGCTTTTGGAGGTTTGTGGTGTGTTACACAGTCATAGCCAGCAAAGGGCTCTGTGCTTTACACACTCCGTTCTAAACAATAAGTGCACACTTTTGTGGGGTTTATGATCAAAGGTTTTTTTAATTATTTAAGTTACGGTTCAAAATGCAAATATTACTGGGTTGGGGATGTAGCTCAATGACACAGCATTGGCTTAGCATTCAAGTGGCCCTGGGTCTGATCTTCTGCAAAGGGAAAAACACCCCCCCCATGTGTGTACAATTAAAGTGGCCATACTTACTGTATAAAAACAATGTTGAGGCCTATGGGTAGAGTTCAGTGATGAGCACTTGCCTAGCATTCTTTTGCAAGGTGAAATGTCAAAATACAAATATTTATGAGTCAGATTTTAAGTTTTCACATAAGGGTATTGTATATAAATGTTACATGACTATAACTGTAGGATTTAAGAAGAGCAGATTGTATGTGTTTATAAATATATACACATCTAAATAAACTCCTTCTGAGCCATCTTTCCCCTGTCTTCAGAATTAAACTCTTGGGCTGAAGAATATGCTCAGTGGTTAGAGTACTTGCTGAAAACATAGGGCCCTGGGTATGAACTTTAGCTGGGGCTGGGAGCTCATAGTCTTAATGATTCATTCATCTCTCCAGTACAACTTTAAACACCGATTTGATATAGGCTCATTTTTTTAGACAACAATAGAACATCCAAACTACTTTTTTAAGAATTTGGGGGAAAAAAAATATGGCTCAACTAGGCATGGTGGCTAATGTCTATAATCCCAGCACTTCGGAGGTGGAGGCAGGAGGATCAGGACTTCAAGGCCAGTCTTCCCTACATTACAAGTTGGAGGCCAGCCTGGGCTATGTGAATATGTTAGGCTGTGTCTTGAAAAAAAAAAAGTCTTTGAGGCTCAGAGTGATGGTCTGAAAACTGTGAGGTGGTCCTTTTGAGTTTTGAGGAGCTGGGAATTGAACCTATAGCTCTGCACATGCTGTACTGTGGAGCTTGACCCCAACCCCGAAGCATAGTGGTGCTGTTTTTAATATATGAGAACTTGTATTTCTGATAGATGATTTTATAAAGTAATTTTATTCATGGAACATGGGGTCTTGTTGAGTTTTAGAAAATGGCTACAGTGCACAGCCAGAATACTGGCCTAAGAGGCAGTATTTCCTTCATCCTAGAGACTTTAGAGTTACTTCCTCCACATCTCCAGAGTCGGCTATTCCAGTTCCATCCCCATAGATTAATTGGTCTGACTCAAACTTCATAAAACAGGAATCGGTCAGTGTATGCCCTTTCAGTGTTTGCTGTCTTTCACGGTAAAAAATACTTTAAAACAAAACAAAGGGGACTGGAGAGATAGTTCAATGGTTAAGAGCACTGTCTGCTGTTCCAGAGGACCCGGGTTCGATTTCCAAAACCCACATGGCAACTTACACCTGTCTGTTACTCCAGTTTCAGGGAACCCAACACCTGTGGCAAAACATCAATGCACATAAATAATAAAAACAATAACAAAAAAAAGATCGTCTACATTGTATGGATCAGCAGGGCTTTTTGTTTGGACTGTAGTGCTTGCAGCACTGGACACTGAATTAGGGCCTCACTGTGCTAGGCAAGCACTGACCCACCACACTGGGTAATTGGCCCTCTTCTTACTTTGTCTTTTTGAAGTAGCATCTCCTAGAGTTGCCCAGACTGACCTTGAGCTTACTCTGTATAGTCCAGGCAGACCATCAGTTTGTTATCCCCCTGCCTCGGTTTTCTGCATAGCTGCAATCCAGGCACTAGACAGCAAGCCTCGCCTGTTCAGTATTTTCTTTCTACTTCTCAGTAGTGTTGCGTTGTCTGCGTGCGTGTGTGCATGCCGGTTTGTTTCCACACTGCCATGTGGAAGGAAGTTTGTGTTGGAAGTGTTGGCTGTGTGAGTGAACTAGTGATGATTCTGTACGAGTATCTTGTGTTGTATTTGTGTGGGTGAGTTGGGAGTAGGCTGTGTCCCATGGCAGAATTAGGTTCGATTCTGAAAGAACTGTCTCCTTATGGTGGTCTGTGTTCTGACAGATGGTGGCGTCTCTTCTGTTGTTTCTGTGCTGTGCTTGTGGAAGTTTAATAGTTCTGGATAGTGAGTCCGTCTTCCTGATTGTAGGGATTCTTTACATAATCTAGATAGGCATCCATTTTGAATATTTTCCAAGTATACTTACCCTTTTCATTTTCTGAATCTTACACAAGGCAGAATAATGGCAGTTTGGAGATAGCTTTGAGCTTGGGATGGTCCTGTTGCCTCACCCTTGTGAGTACTGGGATTATGGGAAGCACCTTAACACCTGCCACGAATTTTCAACTGCTTGTTCTTCTGAGCAGGGCTCACTGTGTAGCTCCGGTTGATTAATTTTAATTGACAAATTGAGTATATTCACATATATATTCTGGAGTGTGTATACATTCTGGAATGGTTAATTTGGGCTAATGTGCATTCCTGTACACACACACACACACACACACACACACACACACACACACACACATTTTATGGGCACACTTAAAATTGACTTAGTGATTTTGAAGACCATGATTGATTCTTAGCTTCACCTTCCAGGTAGAAGGCCTCCGAATGGTAGAGGAGGAAAAAGTACGAGGGCCTAGGAAAGTGGGTGGGTGAGTCCCCTTCAAATTGAGTGGCTGCACTAGTGGGAACAGGGCCTAGGGAGACACCGAGGATGTGTTTCAGTCAGTGAGAACAGTGTGTGTGTGTGACACACCGTCTTGCTCTTCTTCCTCTACTCGCTCTGTTCACTCAACACTGAGGTGTTTGATGCCTAAAGCTCTGGTGTGTTCTTGCTGAGCAGTGTCTGAATGGTGTGGATCCACCGCACAGCATCTGCTTCCCTGGTCAAGGAGAGGTGAAGTTTCTTTGTAAATCATGCCGGTTTCTGCTGTTTCCTGCAGTCTTGTTGCCCCAGCCTGCTCAAGTCTCTCTTAATGCACTCATGTAAGAGTTTCTTTGGAATGTGTTCTGAGACTAGAGCTGCTAGCTGATGTGCCCTCCCAGTCTTCAGCTAGGCAGGCAGCATTTTTATGTTGAAACAGAAGTTGCACAAATCCAAATGCCCAGCCAGTACATTTTCACAAGTACCTGCTTATCTGGCCCCCAGTACAGAAATGGAATACTCGGCAGGTACCCTGGTGACCCCGTCAGTCACAGTGTCCAACCTTGCTCCCCCAGAGTAAATTGCCTGCTTACTTTTCTGGCTTACAGTAGTATGGATTTGGCTTTGATTGATTTGGAACCTCACACAAAGAGAGTCATGCAGTGAGCTATTGCAGAACTGCTGCTGGGACCCATCTGTGCTGGGGCATGTAGTTACCATTTGGTCTTTCACGGCTGTGTAACGTGACATCACTTGAGTATACTTCAGCGTACCTCTTCTGTTGCTGATGAACTTTGGTTTGTATTTAGTTTTCTTCTATCACAAACAAAATTTCTTTGAGTGTCAGAAATTTACATAGAATTTTATTTGCTTTTTCTGTCCTTTGAGACTGGGTTTTTGCTATGTAGCTCAGGCTAGCTTTGGAGTCTGTGAATCATCCAGGTTAGCTTTGAACCCATTGTGTACTGCAGGCTTGAACTGGCCATCCTTCTGTCTCATCCTCCAAAGTGCTGAGATTACAGCTGTGTGTCACCATGCCTGGTTTGAACATTCTTCCTTTTTTTTTTGAGCTCTCTTTGGTAGAGTGCTAGCGATTGAACCCAGGGCTTCCTGCATACTAGGCAAGCAAACTCTTAGGAGCTGTATCCCAGCCTTTGGTCTTTCTTGTAGCACATTGCTTGGTGCACATGTTACAAGGGTCTCTAGGAAATGCACCAAGGTGAAAATTGCTGGGTATGTCTATCTGATGCACAGCTTTAGTTCCAGGAGATAATGCCTTGCCTCTGTGTATTCCAGATGGGTGTATCTTGTCATAGCCCTCTCTACTACTGGTACAGCCCTTTGTTTTCATGGGGGAACATCTTGATGAAAGTACACATCTTCCCACACTCTCGTTCTAGTGACATGTCAAACATTTTTCTTTGCTAGTTAAAAAGTTTAAAACAAAGAAAGAAAGGAGCTATCATATTGAAAGATATTGAAAGGAAACGAACACTTAATACTGTATGTTGTGGAAACAATTCAGACTTGGTTTTCTTTTGCAGACTGACATCCCTGATCATTGTTCTCTCCCTGAGGACCTAGTGAGTATTTCTGCATGTTCTGGATCGGAGTTAACTGGGCCTTTAATGATAAGTTTTCTGAGTAAATGACTAACACCTGTGTATGTCCACCAAAGCCTTTGGACTCCAGCATGTGAGTGCACTGTGAAAAAGCCCACAATAGTAGATGGTGGAAGTGGTGCTATGGATTCGTCATTCCCTAAATTGATTATCCACTAAAGGGAACAGGGAAGACGCTTCCACCTCCTGCAGGGACGAGACTTCCCAATCTTGTTTGTTAAGGATGGCTGTGACCTTTCCTCCATTGAGTCCTTCCAAGACAAAGAGCAGGATGGTCATGGTCTGACTGTCTTGGCCTGGACTCAGCAGTAGGGCTGCTGGTGCTTTCTGACCATAAGGTTCCTACTCAGATACAGAAGTGGGTCTAGCATGCCCAGCTGGCCATGCCCTGGCACAATCCATCTGTTTCTGGCAAATTTTGAGTTGATAAAGTCCACTTGCCATGTAACCAGATCTGGTTTAAAATGATTTCAAATATTCTAAATTGCTAAACTCTCAAGTCCTGATTATCTGTGATTCAGGTCTGGTAGTTTGTTCTCAGTATCTCAAGTTCTAGGACCACAGCAGGTTTTCACACAAAGGGAGAAGGGACCTGGGTTAGATCCACTTTGAATCTATTCTCTTCTATGAAGGAGTTGCTCTGTTTTAGTTTTTAAGTTTCATTTCCATAGCAAAGCAGTGGACCGGGTGGTTTCTGGACTTTAGGTAGGCAGGATGAGTTTATAGAGAGAGGGGAGAATAACGAAGTGGGATTAGAAAACCTCCTCCATTGGCTCTACTATGAAGGCCATTTTATACTCAAAAGAGCCTTGACTTTAGGACAGAGGCCATATTCGTGAGGTGAGAAGACAAATTGCTTTGCTTTCGTGTTGCTGGGGAATGAATCCTGGCCTTGGGCATGCTAAGGAAGCATGCTACCATTTAGCTATATATCCCCAGGCAGGGATGCTATTGACACAGTCCTAGACAGACGGCCAGGACTAGCAGCTAGCAAGAGCTTCCTGGTTGCTGTTTGTTTCACTTACAGAATGTGGGGACTGGTTTGGAGCATCACCCTTCAGGTGGACTTCCAGCAAAGAGAGAACTAGAGGGTTATAGCAAGATGGCGGGTCTGCTCAGTTTTTTTCTGAGCTACATGATCCAGAAAATAGAATAGGCCCAGCCTAGATTCATGATTTTTAAGATGCCAAACTCTGGATGTCAGTAGCTGAATTCCTGGCTTGGAGCTGAGCAAATGTTCTAGTTTCATGTCTGCTGCTGTGATTAAAAAGTAGTGTAGGAGATAATAGGGTTCATTTGGCATACAGTCCCAGGTTTAGAGTCCATTATTGAGGGGAAATCAAGGCAGGAACTCAAGCACCTAGTTACATCATAACCATAGTGAAGAGCACAGAGAATAAACACATCCTTGCTTACTTGCTTCTTTTTTCCCCCAGATAATTTTCTTCATACTTAACACAGTTCAGAGTTCAGCCTAGGAAATAGTGCCACTCCTGGTGGGCTGGGTCATTTAGCAGTCAAGACAGTCAGTCCCCCACAGGCTGACCTGATCTCGACAATAACTCATTTGAAACACCTTCCTTAGGTCTTCTGAGGTAGCAGAAGGTTGACATTTAAAGTGTAACCATGACAGCAAAAGTGGGGGTTGGTGGAGGTGGACTGGGGATATTGGGGAAGCAGCATGCTTACCCAGTGTTACTGGTTTTTTGGTTCTTGGGAGGCTTTCTGTATTTGGGGAAGAATTTTACCTAAGAAAGACTGTCTCTGGGTATCCTTAGCTGTTTTTGTTTGATTCTTTGTATGCAACTCTGAGAACTGTTGAGTCTGGATGTGGGTGGAACAGGAGGGCTGTGGCTAAAGATGGTATCTACCCTCAGCATGTACATTTCCCCTTTCCTTCTCACTGATAAATCACAGAGAGTGCTGGAAGTTTCCAACCACTGGTGGTACTCCATGCTTATCCAGCCTCCCTTGCTGAAGGACAGCGTGGCTGCCCCACTGCTCTCCGCCTACTACCCTGACTGTGTCGGCATGAGCCCCTCCTGCACCAGCACGCATCGTGCCGCAGCCACCACCGGCAGTACCAGCCCAGGGAAGATGGAGCCCTCCAAGGCGGCCCCCTCTCCACTTGGTGAGAGATGTTTGGGTATCCCCTTCCTTCCATCCCTTGCCCCCTCCTTGGAAATTTAAGGGTAAGCAAACTACAGAACCCTCTTTCAATGTATGTGACATGATAGAAAGCACTCACCGTTGCATGCATTTGGTTATGCAGTTGGCCTTCATATATACCTGCTCTGCATCACAGATTCAGACAACCTGGACGGAAAGCCACTTGGGGAAAAGTTCTAAGTTCTGTCTGTATTCATTATATACAGATTCTGTATTACAGATTTTATCGTGCTTGCGTTTGTGTGTGTGTGTGTGTGTGTGTGTGTGTGTGTGTGTGTGTGTGTGTGTGTGTGTTCGTGACTGTGGAGGTCAGAAGAGAGGGTTTCTGATCAGTAACAGCTATTTCTATAGCATTTACATTATATTAGGTGTTAAAAGTCATCTAGAGATGGACCTATGCAAATATTGCACCATCTAAATAGGGGACTTGAGCATGTGTGGCTTTGATAGACTTGTGTGGGTAGGGGGTCCTAGAACTAAGTCCCTGTGGATGGTGAAGGAGGATGGCACTGTGGCTCTTTTGTAGCATTGTATACAATGTATACTCACCGTGAAAAACCTATAACTCCTAACAGTTATTATGTATAGGATTTGATGAGTGTTTGTTTTAGGGTTGGATAGCTGTGCCATTTACTGATTTCACAGACTCTGACTTACAGAAGGAAGTCCTGGGCTGTGTGAGCACTGCTTTTTAGTATTTTTTCCCCTCCTTCCTCATCTTTTTGTCTCTAATGACACCAGTAGAGATAACAACACTCCAAAAGATACAGAATTTCATGTCAGGACAGAATGTTGTTGGCTCCAAAGGAATTCTAACAACCCCACATCTATGCATGAACAAACCACATTTTTTATTGTGAAACTAGATTTTTTTCCCATTCAAGGCCCAATACTAGATGGTTCTTAACAGTGGAGATGTGAGGAGATCTAGGCCAGTGCTGCTGTGGGAGCTCCCAGTGTTTTGAGGAGGGCGCACTGAGCTGGGCACTCAAGTACTAAAAGAGTGCACATTCGTGAAGACAGTTTGGCACTGTGTAGCAGACACCTTACCATGAGACTTTGAACTAGCAAACCTTTCTAAGATGCTATCCTAAAGTCAATCAGTTCAAGACTGCACGTGCAAAGAAATTTGCTTTGGTGTTGTTTATAATTGTGAATGTGATCGGTGTGATCTAAATGCCCAGGAGAGGGGAATGGTTGAATAAGACACAGAGCCACCAAAGTTACATTTAATGACACGGGAAAACATTTAGAAGTGGGTTTGAAAACAACACCTTTATAGCATTTGCCCAACTTTATAAAACTAGCGTCTAGTATGTTAATAATAGGACACTCTGGATCCTGGAACATAGCCTAGCTTGGGACATTATCAGTGCTTAGGGATTCCACTTTATAATCTGAAAGTGGTGCATTTTTTTGTTCTTTTTAAATCTAAAAATTACATTTGTGTGTGTGTGCCACAACACATATGGGAGGTCAGAGGACAACTTCAGGAAAGTGGTTCTCTCCTTCATGGAGACTGAACCAAGGTCATCAGGCTTGGTTGCGAGAATCTTTACTCATTGAACCATATCACCAGCCCCTGTGTGTGTGTGTGTGTGTGTGTGTGTGTGTGTGTGTGTGTGTGTGTGTGTGTGTGTGTACACGTGTGCACATGCTTCCTGCAGATTGGAAAGTGACATCTTACAGAAGCTGCTTGGTTGTCACCTGTCAGTTCTAGGCATGAACCGCTACTTCCAGCCCTTCTACCAGCCCAATGAGTGTGGCAAAGCCCTGTGTGTGAGGCCCGATGTGATGGAGCTGGATGAGCTTTATGAGTTTCCAGAGTATTCTCGAGACCCCACCATGTACCTAGCTTTGAGAAACCTCATCCTCGCTCTATGGTACACAAACTGCAAAGTAAGTGAGGGCATACCCTGCAGCAGCATGGGAGGAGAGGGCGGCAGCGAAGGAAAGGAGTGTTTCAAGGGTGCGGGAGGGCTGTTCTGTACACATAGTAGTATATTTGCTGTATCCCTGGCCTCTGCTCTGGAGACTCGAGTACCACTTCCATGTTGACAATTGAATACATGTTGACAACTTCTTATCTGAAACACTTGGGACCAGAAGTGACCTCAGCTTTTGGAATTAAAAAAAAAAATTTCAGAGTACTTGAATAGGCTTCCCCAGCTGTACATCCCAGTCCAGAAAGCCTTCCGATGCTCTGAGATCTGAAACTTTTAAGGATTCTGTTGGCACTCAGAATTTGGAAGATTTCAGATTGCATGTTCTCTAATTAGAGATGCTTCATCTGTATGAGTCTAGGCATTTTCAAGTAGAGACAGGGTCAGCCCCTGTTGAGAACAGCTTTGGACCATATGGAGTCAGAATGAGACAGTGCATGAGAAGGTGCAAGGCTTGGTTCAAAGAATGGGGTGTTGCCAGGAAGGCAGAAAGCACTCAAAAAGGGGATGATAAGCTCTGTCCCTAGCCAAGCAAGCTCAGTGCTTTTAACTCTGTAGGACTGCATAAATATTTAGGGCATCGACATAGCATGTGCTTGAAAAGACGGAAGGTAAACCAGAAGCGGGGGAGCAGGAATGCTAAGTTTAAAGAAAGCCAACTAGCCAGCTCATGGTGACACACACCTTTAAATCCCAGCCCTCAGGAGGCAGAGGCCAGCAGATCTCTGGGAGTTCAAGGCCAGCCTGGTCTACATAATGAGTTCCAGGCCAGCTAGAGCTACAAAGTGGGAACCTCTCTCAACAACAAAATGTAAAAATAAACTTTTAGCCCTAGTTTTTGTCTTTTAGATTTTGTTTGTTTTTAAATTGGGTGACTTACTTTCTTGCTGTTGGTTTTGGTTTCCTTGTAAATACAGGAAGCTCTTACTCCTCAGAAGTGCATTCCCCACATCATCGTCCGGGGCCTTGTGCGCATTCGATGTGTTCAGGAAGTAGAGAGGATTCTTTACTTTATGACGAGGAAAGGCCTCATCAACACAGGAGTTCTCACTGTGGAACCTGGCCAGCATCTTCTTCCTAAACACTACCACAATGTAAGCAACTGGCTGTGCAGCAGCTCTGCCTTTGGTCGTGGTAAGGGATGGTGTGTTGCTATGGTAGTACTAGAAGCCACGGAAACCACTGGCAGAAGGAAGACTTGGGAAGACTTTCTCCCAGGAGACTAGCAGCAGTTTCTCCAGGCTGTAAGAAAAAAGAGGTTACTTAAGACAGGTACTGTCATGTACCATAGGAAAACAAATCCTAGTGACACCAAAAATATAGTCTAACACTGTGGCAGTTAGAACCTTCCAGAGCAACTGTAACAGCACCTTGTCACCACTGTTCTAACGAGAGTTTTGTTTTCTTTTTGAAGAAATCGGTTCTGGTTGTTGGGGCTGGTCCAGCAGGCTTAGCAGCTGCTAGGCAACTACATAACTTTGGGATGAAGGTGAGACTCTGGGAAATTGGAGGTGGGGACAGATGGTTCACTGCTCCTTTGCTCCAAATTTTGTAAGACTTTGAGACCAGTTCCTAAATTTAGTGAAGAATAACACACACTGCTTTCTTTTGAGACAAGGTCTCACTGTAGCCCATGCTAGCCTAGAACTGAGGTCACATGCTTGCCTCTCAAGTGCTGACCTTAAACACCACATCTTTTTACAGTAGGTCCTAGAGAAGCTTTGGCTTTGGCATTGAGTAAGTCAGAGCAGGTAGAGCTTGGGGAGCACTAGACGGTAGGAAGGAACTCAGCTATTCTAACCTGGAATCCACACAAGTTCTTGGCAGCTTATTATTAACCAGTGGAGGTGATGGAATAGTTTGGGGCAACAAATGAAAGCATGGAAATACCCAGTTAGCTTTTTTCCTTTTCTCCGCCCTCCCCAATATTGAGGATGGAACCCAGGGCTTCTGTTATGCTAGGCAAGCACTCTGCTCTAGTCGTCAAATTTCTTGATGCAAACCAGTCATCCTTGGACTCTTACTTGGGAAAACAAAAGCCATGGCTTTTGAAAGCAGGATGGAATAAATGAAAACATGGCTGAGCTAGAATTATGACTGCTTAGCACCTAGGGAGGGCAGAACAGTGTGCCAGTTGCTGGAAAATGCCTTGCTCCAGCTCACAGCTTGCCAAGATAGAGACTGCTAGAGGGTAGGCACAGAGGTCCACACACACCTTGAATCCCAGTACTAAGGAGACAGGCCAGCAGATCTGAGTTGGTGGCCATTCTGGTTCTAGGCCAGTCAGGAATACATAGTGAGACTCTGTCTCAGAATTTGGTATCTAATCCTTATCAAATCAGGAACCTTCACCTAGCTTTTTCTGATTTGCTAAGTTGGACGCATTCTTCTGTTTAAAATTTTGCAAGTACTTTGCTTTTCATTGAAGGCAAAGTTAAATAAACAACAGGACCTTCTGTTTGGTGACATGTTCAAAGTCATGGTTCAGGTTGTCAGAGCAGTGCTCAACAGCTGGGCCTAGAAGATTTTTTTCTCCTGGGTAGATAGAGGACTCAAGTTGTGGGTCACGTCATACTACTAGCAAAACAAGAAAGTCAGTTGGGTAGGAGGAAGTGTTTGTGGTAGGAAATCCCTCCTGTGAGCTACAGAAAGTGTTTATGTTATTTCAGTATTAGATGTTAGGCTCAGTGTCTCTTGTTTGCTTTTTACTTGGGAAACCTCAAGATTATATTACAGGTGAGGCTATTAATATCCAGAGTCTGGGGAGGCTGCCTTTAATGTTAAGCCCTTGTATACTAAAAAGAGATAGAAACATGTGGCTCATTATTAAAATCGGAGAAAGAGTGGGGAGGTGGGGCCACGGGCTGTAACCCTCCTAGATATGTTGGTCGGGGGTGGGGGCGGGAAAGAGTGCCTGGAGGACTCGCTACTCTCTCAAGTGATTGAGAGAGCTTAGGAGACCATCCATCTCCCTTAAGGTTAGATGGTAGAGGGCTCTGGGTAACCTGAGCAGCGGTTAACTGGGAGAGAACAATTCAGAGTAGTGTTTCTGAGGGCCCAGAGGTGAGTGTCTGATACTGTAGAAAGGAGCACTCAAGTTGCACCTACTGTAACCCCAAGACAAGGCACTTGGAGTCCTAGGGTCACATACAGACCTTGCCTGCTCCCAGAGAGCAGTTCTGCATCTCACTGGCATTAGAAACTTGGGAGATGGGTGTGGGACTCGCTGGATTCGGCTGATTCCATTAAGGTCATACTTACATAGTTGAGAAGGGCCTAGCAACATTGAGGAATAGGTATTTCATGGAAAATTCAGCTCTTGAACATAGCTCTTGTTTGCTTTGTTTGAAACAGGGAATTCCCATGTAATCTAAAATGGCCTCACATTTGAGCTTCCTGCCTCAACCTCCTAAATGCTGAGTTTACGGGCACATGCCACCACCATTCATGATTTAAACTAGATTTTAATGTGATTTCTAGGGACTTGGGAGATGGCTCTGTGGGTAAATTGTTCATTGTTTAAGCATGAAGACTTGAGTTCAGGTTCCCTGCATCACATAAATGTTAGACGTGGCAGCATGTGTCTATAATCCCAGCACACTGGGAGACTGGAAACAGGTGGATCTAGGAGATGGCTGGCCAGCTGGTCGAGGTACAAAGGGGAGGGAGGGCTCCAGGTTCAGTGAGATAGCCTGTCTCACGAACACCGTCAAGCACACCTGTACACACATGTACACGCATAAATCTACCCACTGCCACACAAATTAAAATTGGGGAAAAAAGAAAGAAAATAAACTCATGCAGGGGCCGGAGAGTTGGGTCAGTGGTTAGAGCACTGGCTGCTCTTACAGAGGACCTGGGTTTGATTGCCAGTGTTCACATGGTGGCTCAACTGACTATAACTCCAGTTACAAGGGGATCTGATGCCCTCTTCTGACCTCTAAAGGCACTGCATTGCATGTGATACAGACGTGTGTATTTCGACAAAACACACAAAATTTAACAAAACAAACTTGTGGAATGCTGTTTAAAGTTTTCAGTGATGAATTTACTCATTCATCAAATCTTTTTTTTTTTTTTTATCTATTTGAGATAGGGTCTCACTCTGTAGCCAATGCTGGCCTAGAACTCACTATGTAGCCCAGGGTGGCTTCAAATTCATGGCAGTCCTCCTGCCTCAACCTCCAGAGTGCTGGGGTATTAGAGGTATGAGCTGCCCACCTGGCTCGTTCACTGAATCGCACCTGATTTGAGAAAAGTGCTGGATGAGCACCCACTCACGCCTGGTGAAAGGGAGGCAGGTTTAAATGTGTGCCTGGGTTCTCTTCATGCTTAGCTACAGTGGCTTCTGTAGAAATATGACAGTCTCTAAGCATGGAGTTGTTTAACAGTCACTACATTTTTGTAGTTCTGCATCTGGTATGACTGTTCTGTTTAGATTCCCCAATTATCTTTTTAGGTGACTGTCCTGGAAGCCAAAGATCGAATCGGAGGCCGAGTATGGGATGACAAGTCTTTTAAAGGCGTCGTAGTGGGAAGAGGACCCCAGATTGTCAATGGCTGTATTAATAACCCAGTAGCACTAATGTGTGAGCAAGTGAGTGTCTTAAAGACTTGTATTGTAGGCAAAGGAGAGAAAACTTGTCTCTGTTTGCATAGAGGATTAATATGGAGCTGGGGGTATGGCCCTCTGGTGAAGTACCTGCTAGCATCCTCAGTGCTGGGGTGGGCTAGGGTATATATTAATGTGCTTCCAGAGTAGACAGCATACACAACTTCTTCCTTCATACCCTCTGCAAAGTACAGAAGAATGCTTACACATATGCCTTTCCCATTAGACATTTAAAAGACTTTCCCCAAGATCTTTAATTTTTATTTGTGGATCATTTTCAGGTCACTTAATTGGTTCATAATCAAGCCCAGGGTTGCTAGATGTATCAGGTGAAAATGTAGGGTTCTTAGGTAAGTTTGTCTTTCAGATAAATCTTTTTTTTTTTTTTTTTTTTTTTTTTAGTTTTAAGTATGACCCAAATATTACATGAGATAGTTTACATGTAACATTTGGGGCATAATTAATACTTAGAAAGGACGGTATTTCTCTGAAAGTCAGTCTCCTAGCACCCTGTCTGTTATCTTGCCAACCTGGTAGGTCTAAGGTGATTGTTTCCCCCGAAAGGTTTCGCTTCTCTGAGTGTTTATGACTATTTGCATGAAGATCTGAAGTAGAGACAGGATGTTTAATAAGGACAGGCAGCCCACAGCACCTGAAATAGGAGCTGAAAATGTAGAGTGCGTTGCCTGGGAGAAGTTGTTGTCACCCTCATAAAGTGGGGTGCTTCCGACTTGACCCTAGTCTCTGCTTCCTTGCTTCGCTGTCCCCCACTGAGCACACAGCCTCTTTTGAGTTCTTAGACTCTTCTCTGCAGAGCGCTGCCTAACTTTAGCTTAGAACTTGTAGGTATTTTTTTCCAGGAAAGACTTTCACCCTGTTCTTCTTGTTATTTTGAAGCTTGGCATCAGCATGCATAAGTTGGGAGAAAGATGTGACTTAATTCAGGAAGGTGGACGGATAACTGACCCCACTATTGACAAGCGCATGGATTTTCATTTTAATGCTCTCTTGGATGTTGTCTCTGAGTGGAGGAAGGATAAGACTCTGCTCCAAGATGTCCCTTTAGGAGGTATGGGGAGAACGGTGGTATGATGGTTCCCTCAGTGTCTGCAGGAGGGCCAGTCTTCACATACATTATTCTCACTGAACGCTGCAGATTTTTCTCAGAGGTGGGCAGAACTTCCCTGGGGACCTTTGGTGCTGGTGTGTGTGTCACACACACACACACACACCTTACTTTGAGTGGTATATTGTTCAATAAAATTATCTAAACATTTACTTCAGTCTCCCAGAGAAACTTACTTTTATGGAAACGTGTGATAAGCCCTCCATGCATATGGTTATAGTTGTTAGCCCATATATACTTTCTGAAGGTCTCTGAATACCAGGATTTCTTTCCTTTCTTTACTTCTGTTGTAATAGATTAAGTTTTTTTAAGTATGTTTTGCTTAATGCATATTTTAAAGTTAGCATATCAGATCAGAACTTTGGTACTTAAATGGGCAATAGTAATCACAGCTCTTAAGCCCTTGACTGCCTGTGGCGACCCATTTCCATGGAGGAACCAGCTGGGACGTTGTCTACTGCCCCCTACATTTCTGTTTATGTAACCCACAATTTTGTGACCTCTTATTTTTCTTTTTTTTTTTTTTTTTTTTTTTTTTTTGGTTTTTCGAGACAGGGTTTCTCTGTGTAGTTTTGCGCCTTTCCTGGGACTCACTTGGTAGCCCAGGCTGGCCTCGAACTCACAGAGATCCGCCTGGCTCTGCCTCCCGAGTGCTGGGATTAAAGGCGTGCGCCACCACCGCCCGGCTTATTTTTCATTTGTAGTTCTTGGAGGCATGGTATTTTCTTAAGTGTGACTGTTTGAACTCTCTAATATGTTAATCTCTCTGTGTATTTTGCTGTGCATGTTCTCAGTTCTCAGCTGTAATGTACTGTATTTCAGTAGCTGGTGTTAGAGTTTCATTTCTGTTGCTGTGGTAGACTCTGACCGAAGGGTTTATCTAGCTTCGGTTACAGTCCATCCTAACAGGGAGGTCACGTCACATCCCCAGTCGAGAGCAAAGAGAAGGAAATGCACGCATCCTTTAATTACACAGTCCTGGTCCCCAAACCCGGGAATTTGCTGCCCACTTTCAGGCTGTGTCTTCCCACATCCTTTAAGGCAGCTGAGACGATCCCCCACAGACAGCCTGGTATGTGTAATCCCTCACTGAATGGCTTCAGTATTAAGTTGACAATTAAATGAATGGGCACCCAGGGCATTTCTCTCCACCCTCCTCCTCTGCCACCTTTGAGAGACCTGACCCACAGATCGTTGTTGGAAAGGTGTTGGCAGACATGACAGCCATGACAGAATTCCCAGAAATACCCTCAGGCAGTAGGGCCATCGAATCAGGTGTGTTGTGCCCAGACCAACTGAGCAGCTGTTAACCTCTTGGAACTGAAATTGCTTGGCTGACTTGAGAAGTCTCCAGATTTTACTTTTTCTTTTCTTTTCTTTTTTTTTTGAGACAGTCTCACCATACAGCCCAGGCTGGCCTTAAACTTGGAGTCCTCCTGCCTCAGCCTCCAGAGTGCTGGGATTTTAGGTGGTGCCATCACACCAGCTCTCTTCTCAATGTTTTACAGCTGTATGACAGACACTGGCTGGGTTTTCTTTACATTTCTTTCTTAGTTACCCACTTTGTTACAGCTTTTTCTCTTGGCCTTGTTTCAAAATGTTAAAGGAGGCCCAAGAATAATTTATAAGTAATTGCTTAAGCTTAATCTTTTATTTAAAATGTTTTGATAGTGCATACATATATCTCTATGAAGTTAGGGCTGTATTCTGCCTACATCTCAGTTGTCTGCATACTGTTAATACATACAAACCTTGTCTCAGAAAGTCAAGAGCTCGGGCCAGTCTTAGTAGGAGACCATTTGTCTACCCCGCCCATGGTGCTGAGTCCGTTCTCCAGCTCTGAAAACAAAACAACAGATGGTCAGTGGTGGTTGTAGTCAGATAGGCGCGTAGCCAGCCCTTCATAGAAACCTGGAGTCCGGGACGTGGGGGGGTGGTCGTCTTCACGGAAGTTACCAACCTGTACTAAGATGCTTGGAATTAGGCACGAGCCTGAGCCCTTAACCACTGAGTATGCACCCCGCTGCGATTGTCTAGTTAAGCCAATCAGAACCATTTCACAGGCATGTGTCTCGTTAAAATTCCAGTTGAATGGGATAGCTAGTGCTGGAATTAAAGCACATGCCTGTCATACAGCACTGGGGAAGGAGGCAGGCAGCCGCTAGATAACACCAGGCTGTACGGCACTGGAGGGTGTGCTTAAACTAGACAGCAGGGAAAGCAAGTCCAGCAGGGCTAGGATTTACCCTGAAAGGATTTAAGAGCTGTGTGGCCAAGCCTCAAAATGGGTAGGTCGTAGTTGCTACTTGGGCGAAGCCAGCAGGTAGCCACCCTGCTCAGTCAGCTTTTGAAACTTAATTGTGTGTGGCACCAGGAATTCATTAGTGGTGTTGAGGAAGATGGCTGACAGAGCGAGAGACCCCAGGAGACTCCCGCGGTACTTTCATTAGTAAGGGGACAGACAGGGTGGAACCTCACGCCATAGCAGTCAGAGCAGAAGGGCATGGCGTTCCTGTCTGTGCACGTGTAAGGATACTTTTGCCACCTCTTGAGCAGAGAGGAAACAGTTTCTTCACTAAGCAGGAACTTAACATGTTTTAATGTCCAGCTTCTTCTAGCTTTGTTTCCATTAAGATTAAGCATTTGCTTGCGGAGGACTCAGCCCCATCAAGTTTATTGCTTATTACTTATTCCTGAGTTTGCTTAGGAAGACTGGAAGTTTGGGGCTCTGTTGGGGAAAGAAGGATCGGGAATTGGACAGGAAATTGCTTCTCAACTGATTGTTTTGCTCTGATCCATTCCTACCACAGAGAAGATAGAGGAGATCTACCGAGCTTTTGTGAAGGAGTCTGGCATCCAGTTCAGCGAGCTGGAGGGCCAGGTGTTACAGTTCCATCTGAGTAACCTGGAGTATGCCTGTGGCAGCAGCCTGCACCAGGTGAGCCAGGGGGCCTGAAATACTCCGGCATGAGCTGGGGAGCCGGCTCATCCCGTACAGTGCTGCTGCATAAGCATGTGGGTCTGAGTTTGGATCCCCAGTCCCCGGGAGAGCACCAGAGGTGGTGGCATGGCTTCTGATCTCAGTGCTGAGGAGGCCGAGACAGGAGGCTCTATGAGGCTTGCTGTCCCTCCGTCCCTCCGTCTCTCTCTCTCTCTCTCTCTCTCTCTCTCTCTCTCTCTCTCTCTCTCCAGTGGCTGGAGTGCCACTGCATACATCTATTGGTTAGACACCAGCCTTCCAGATCTGGTTCTCTGTTTTCACTGTAAGCTCTGACAATCAAACTCAGGTCATAGGCTTATGCAATGAGCACTTTCACCCAGAGAGCCATCTTCCTGGGTGCTTTTGTAACCCAGGCTAGGTTTGAACTTGTTACATAGCTCCAGTGCCTCTTGCCACCACCTCCCATGTTGCCGGGGTCACAGGCACATACCACCACACTTGGCTGGTGGTTCATTTGACTTTAAAGGTAAGTATTGCTCGGTAGCCCAAGCCAGTCCTGAACTCAGGCTTCTCATTTCTCAGCCTCCCAGGTGATAGGGTTACAGACCTGTGCCTCCATACTGCCTGTGAAGAAGTTCACTCTGTACACTCCAAGGAGGAGATGCTGGGCTGGACCAGAGAGGGGCCAATAGTCTTGTCCTTTGCTGCTCTCTCCCAAGCCCCAGTCCCAATCCTGTGCGGTGGCCCTGAGAGTCATTTTAGTGGAGCCATGTTGTTTAAAAACACTGCTCCAAGAAACCAAGATAATGCAGCATTGCAGTTCTGTCCTGTTTGTCTTGTAGAAGTCAGTTTCAGGCTTACCTAACTCATTTAACCAGCTGGGAAACTAACACTCCATTACCCTGCTTAGAAGGACACCTCCACCTCCATGCTATTCTGCATTACAATTTGAAGTGAACCATTTTTCCCAAGCATGCTGGGTCTTGGCCTCTATGGAACTCCTCCTTCCCATGCTGAGAGAAGTTTGGTGTATTTTCCTGTGGAGTTGAACAAACGCAGTTTGACTGCCATAGAATTTGCCTTTGCCAGAGTTGCTGATGAAGAGACACTGGCCCACTGGAATATGTGGCTGTGGCAGGTCTTGCCCCTCCCCCACCCCCTCTGCCCTGCTAAAAACTGTTAGATTACATTCCTAAAGGTAGCCACCAAGGTCTATTCCCTTATTTGGCCGCTTCCACCTGAGGCTGATTACAGGGTCCAGCTGTCAAAGTATTGAAGTCCAGCAATCAGAAGCCCCCTCTGGCTCACCTAATTAACATGTCCATTAAACACCTCATCATAACATGGGGCTTCCCCTTTACCTTTATAAACCATTTGCCTGTGTGTCACATCTGTTTCCCCTCTGTACAGAAGAGTCCTTTGTCCCTGCAGGACACATACCCCTGGCCCCTTCCCCTTGTTCCTTTTCCCTTCTTCGTCCCCATCTCCTTTCCCACCGCATCCTAGCCCATCCTAACACAGACCTCCCTTCTTCCCCTCTTAACAACGACACCTGCAAGGTCATTCGCTGCTGTTTTCTGCCTGAGTCAGAAAGCAGCCACTTTAACTTTTCTTCCCTGCTTAATAAAGGATCTCTCTGTGAAAACAGGTGTTTGGGTGTGGGTTGTGCCTAATCTGGGGTTTGGAGGGAGCCTCGCTGTGCAGGAATCCCCTTCAGCTGATGCATAAAATGAACTTTTTTTCTTTTTTTTTAATCAACGAGTAGTACCCATTCTCAAATTATTTAAACCTTCTTCCCTCATTTGTCGTGTGTGGGTGTACACGTGCATGTGTAGACCAGAGGACAGCCTCATACTGTCCCTCGGGTGCTGTCCACTTGTATTTATTTTGAGACGAACTCTCACTCTGAGGACTAATCTGGCCTGGAATTTAGGGCAATGCCTCAGTCTTCCACGTGCTAGAGTTAGAGGCGTGAGCTCCCATGTCTGTTTGGACCTTTTGCTCTAAAGTAAGCTTTTTCTGGGTGTCGCACAGTTTGCCTTACCCAGACAGTGGTGTATGCTGGGGCTGCTTGGTTGTCCTCACTTCTGTGATTGGTACTCTGCCCTCCTGCCTTGGGTGCCTTTTCCCACCTAGAGCTCTTTTTGATATCCTCAAGGGCAGCTTGTGTGTTTACATTATGGATTCCTAACATGTTGTATTGTTTCCCAGGTGTCTGCACGCTCCTGGGACCACAATGAATTCTTTGCACAGTTTGCTGGTGACCATACTCTTCTAACTCCTGGATACTCCACTATCATTGAAAAACTGGCTGAAGGACTAGACATTCGCCTCAAATCTCCAGTAAGTTTGGACGGTGGGAGGCTCTGGTTTTTTCTTGTTTGGGAAGGATCTGTAGCTCTGAGAATGATTCTCAGGGAATAGGTGTTTGTGTGGACAGTCAGCCAGTGTCTCCCAAGGCTTTGAGGGTACAAATGTAGCCTGAGAAGCACAGCATCCACTCAGTTAAGTAGTGCCTAGGGTTTGGAAACCAGAGTGGCCTGGGCACAGTTCACTAATATAGTGTTTGAGTAGCTCATGACCTTGCTAACCTAAACTTAACACTTCATCATCCCAATGGGCAGACATCATCATCGTTTCAGAAATGATCAGTCTCACATTGTGCTATAAGAAACAGTTTTCCATTATCCTGACATGTTTAAACTAACTCTTGAGTTCAACTGTAACCACTCAAGAATGCTGCATGCCCAGCACTTACTGGTCCGCATAGCCTCAGCAGTACACACACATGCCATGGGAGTGGGAAAGGTCCTGACCCTCACATTGTTTCTAAATGTTTATCTTAAACAGGTGCAAAGTATAGATTATACTGGAGATGAAGTACAAGTTACCACGACAGATGGAATGGGGCATTCTGCACAAAAGGTAGGTGCTGGGATCCCACTAGGACAGAGCACCGTACTGCCAAGCCTGTGGAGAAGAAAACAGTCTTTGCTATCAAGCAGTTTGTCCGTGGCAGTCTGCCTAGAGACTTGTTGGTTTCTAATGAGTAGGTTTACCCATAAGTTGTGGGTAGCTTACAAATCTGAAATAGTCAAGCACCATCTAAACACATGGCAGATGGAATTCTGTGTTCCTTAAAGTGGATTCTGTGGTATACTGGTCCTAATAATTGAATAAGAAGATTCCCAGAAATGGCTCGATTGAGCTCTAATGTGAGGGCCTGGATGTCATCCTCAGTTCTTCCTCCTGAAAATGCTTTGGTCAAATGAGTTTAGGAAATGTTATATAGTACAACCTTCTTAGGGTTGAAAGGGATGCTGAAAGGGCTTGGAGAAGTTGTGCATTGAAGAGACCTGTTACTTCAATTCTGTACTTTTACCATGGAACTCTTTTTAAATTCAAGTTTTCGTCTTGAAACTATACTCTCATGGAGCTTAAGTACTTTGATGTCACTTGGACTTTTGGTAATAGCTTCAATAGGTGCATAGTGCAAGGTGCTGGGTCTCGTTCCCGAAATCACAATGTGAAGCCTAGTACTGGAAAATAAAGGCAGTTACTTGGGATAGAGATTGAATAAACCCTGAAAGCTTGGTTATTTCTGGAGCTGGAATGATGATAAAGAGATCTCACTGATGGACCCTGTCACCTGTCGGCAGAGTAGCTTTGCTTTCTCCTCTCCATTGTCTGACACCTTTTCACAGTCCTGAGTATTCATACAGAAACAAAGGCTTGCATGTCACACAGGGAGGATGGGCCTAGAGATGCCATGGGTTGGGAGTGTCTTAAACTCCTGTCATCAGCTGGCTGGGAGAGCATGCAGTGGCTCTCAGCACCCTGCAGGGATTCTCATTGAACTTGGCTGGGTATGTTTCTCAAGCCTCTCTGAGATTCTTTGTAGCTTGCTGGAGCCACTGGGCAGTGGTGTCACTGTAAGCTCCTACTATGTAAGTTCTTCCTAAGGCTAGCATCTTAGTACGGCCTTTTAAAATTACACCTCAGCTAACTATTCAACGGAGGTAATTGTGTGTCTGCATCTTAGTCTACGAGAACATGATACTTGGTGTTTCCCTGCCTGGTCACCCTTACCCTCTGCTGATGTTGGCGAGACATATGCACTCCTGAGCCTTTGTATTTAGGCCTTCCAGATGAATTGGCATAGCTACAAATTGTACTTTGAAATGTTTAAAGCAAGTATTTTTATTATATGGCTAATATTAATCAGTTTGCATTGGATATCTTCTTGAACATGTGAGTGAAAGCATTGCAACCCAGCTGAGGAGATAAACTTATGACAGACTGTAACTCAGTCTAGGTTTCTTTTGCAGAGAATGAGCCTCATTGTCCCAACAGGGTGAGTTTGTGCCACTGGCCTAGTGGCTTACTCAAGAGCTGCTACTCTTGGGAGTTTTGTTGGTAAGACTTCTAGGTTTTACTTATTTTTTTGCAGTTGTCATGTCAGCTGTTGTTTGGCAATGACTATTTTGGTCTTGCGGATGCTAGTACATGCAAATAGATTGTAGGAGAGAGAACATGTTTTATACTTTAAGACTTTGGGGTGGCGTGACAAAACTCACAGAACTCTGGACTTGCTTTGATTCTGAAATTGGTGGTTAAACCAAATATATGGAGTATTTGAGGAGGAGAGTAGATAGGATGTTGAGAATTCAGTTGTGCTCCACCTGCATCCTTGTTTCATCTAGTCCTGCAGATATTGAAAGGCAGATACATTTCTTTCCCTCCTTCTTCCTACAGACTCCCTTGCCGCTAAGGTTTTCCCTGTAAGTGAGATGCAACCAATCATACACACATCTGGGAGGTGGAGCCTGTCTGGCTCTGCTTCACTGTTGCTGCCTCTGCTGAGAGTGGCTAAGGTGCTTGGTTCTGCTGTGGCAGGGATAGCAGAGGTCTCATGACGACAAAAGGCAGGGCAGGAGACACCTGTTTTGCTGGTACAGGTCTTTCTATCTACTGGTAGCAGTAGTAATGACTTCTTCGTTGATTCTGAAACTAGAACTTTCTGAATGGTAAGGTGAGACAGCAGTTATCCTTGATGGCTTGTTATTATGTGGCCTCAAGGGTTCTCCCTCCCCCCCACACAATAGGTCCTTGGTGTGTAGCCTCCGTTGGCCTTAACGTTCTAAGTGCTAGGATTATGGGCCTGTGCTACCATACCTAGCCAAGAGTTCAATTTGACCTTTAAAACTACTTGAGACCTTGTAGTAAAATGCTTACTGCTTAAAAAGTTCTCATGTAGTTTCACAGTTTATAACCCTAGTACTTGTGATTTGCTTATCAATTATGGAGCATATGATTGCCTCCTAGTTTTAAGTGGTCGTCTGATTCTGAGATCAGTAAGGACAAGCATTTCCTGTATAGGCTATTGACAGGCATGGTACTAAGAATGACAGAACAAGCTCTGATTATTTTGGGCCTTCCCTCCCTCTCTTTCATTTTCATTTTTTGTGGACAAGATCTGACTGTGTATCTGATTGGCCTGGAACTGGCTATGTAGTTCAGGCTGATTTTGATCATCTTGTGTCTACCTCTGGAGTGCTAGGATTACAAATGTTTACTACTACGCTTGGCTGGGCCATTTCCATAAATAGCACTGCATTTCAGAGATGAAGTATGCTACCCTCCTGACCCAGCATTATCACTAGCCATCAAGAAAGTTCTTTATGTACATTCCTGTGTGGATGCTACTTTTGCCTAGGCCCTATTGAGCAATGAACAACCTGTGTGATCTCACATAACACCCCTTGTTCTTAGAACATAAAGTGGGATATTGACAGTTTTACAACTGGAAGTAGAGCAGAGAGAATGCTCAGGTATTGGTCTGAGCCACTGAGAAGCATGGGTAGTTTCAGATGCTGTGTTGTCTTAATTGTTCCCCACAGGTATTAGTCACTGTACCATTGGCCATACTACAGAGAGGTGCCATCCAGTTTAATCCACCATTGTCAGAGAAGAAGATGAAGGCCATCAATAGCTTGGGCGCAGGCATCATTGAAAAGGTGACCTAAATTACCTTAGCCTCAGAACTCAAGAGATAGCGCTGGCTGATAGTTTTGTTTGGATAATAACCTTTTGAACAATTAGGCAAACAAAAGGGAGTAAGTAAACAGAATGTACTATATACATGTGTGATTGTCAAAGAACCAATTTACTCAGTTAAAAATGGGGGGGGAGGTATTATGAAAAAGTTTAGCCTTAAAAATTTCTCATATAATTTGGATTAAAAAAGGCTAGCTGAATTCCATTTTTACTTTTAGGAGAATCGCTTCTCTTGAACCCCTAGATGGGGTCTCATGTAGTCTAGACTGCCTTCAAACTATGTAGCTAGGGGTAGATTTGAAGTCTTGGTTTCACCTGCCTACCATGCCCAGCAGGGAAATGAATCTGGCTATCTGATTTTGGCTTTGCTATAAGCAGCTCTTAATTTGTTTTGTTCTCCTGTGTCCATCCTCTCCCTGTGTCCCAGTGAGCCCAGGGTTTTGGGTTTTTGGTTTTTTTTGTTTTTGTTTTTGCAGCCGTTATGGTCTCCTTTAGCAGTCAAGGCAGTGTGGGAGACACTAGGCCTTTTGAGTGGTCTGTAGCTTATGGAAGTTCAGGACTGAATAGGTGGGGAGTTTTGAACCTAGTGTAGTTGTTTCTAAGTAGACTTCTAGGTTGTACTTAGAGATGGCCTGTGATTGATTGATACAGGGGGCGCTTACCCTTCTCTTGGCTTGCTTTCCAGATTGCCTTGCAGTTTCCGTATAGATTTTGGGACAGTAAAGTTCAAGGGGCTGACTTTTTTGGTCATGTTCCTCCCAGTGCCAGCCAGCGAGGGCTCTTTGCTGTATACTACGACATGGACCCCCAGGTAAAGTTTTGTGGTGTGGTTTGAATTCCTTTCTTTCTTTTTTTTTTTTTTTTTTTTTTTTGGTTTTTCGAGACAGGGTTTCTCTGTGTAGCTTTGCACCTCTCCTGGAACTCACTTGGTAGCCCAGGCTGGCCTGGAACTCACTTGGTAGCCCAGGCTGGCCTCGAACTCACAGAGATCCGCCTGGCTCTGCCTCCCGAGTGCTGGGATTAAAGGCGTGCGCCACCACCGCCCGGCTTGAATTCCTTTCTTAAAGGTTAGGGTTTGCAAATTATGTGCCAGGAGCAGGAATGAACCACGACTGCGTAGATCTGTGTATGTATTTATATTTTGGGGAGGATGCAGCGACTGGGGCATTTCCATTGGGAAAAGAGTCCCAGTCCTTGCCCTGTTTTCTTAAAAGTATCAGTTCTGCTCTCTGGGGGAAGACTCGATGCTCACTTTCAGGTTGAAAGTGAATTCCTCAGGTAAGGCCAGCGACAGCACAGTGAAGAGGTGGACCAAACGTCCTAACTGTTGTCTCTGCTCTAGAAGGTCAGATATGGGATGTCCGTGTGAGGGCCGTGATGGGAGTAGATGCGAAAGGTAGAAATTAGAGTACAGCCCTGGGGGTAGAAAGCTGTGCTACCAAAACAAAGGAACCTAGCCACCGTTTCCTACTTTTCCTCACTCTGGGGAAATGTTTTAAGGGGGTTTCATGTGGGAGCCATGGAAGGTTGTATTTAATTATTCCTGCGGATTTCTTTCTCAAACTTACTGCTGCTTCTCAAACAAAATTTCATAAACAGCCAAGGGAACTTTGAATTTGACATTTACATTATTTCATGAGTGTTTCTTTCTTTCCAGCAGGGGACTGTAGTGGGGAATGAGTAATGTGCATGAGGAGAATGGATGGGGATTGAAGTAGAGATAAAGGACAATGAGACACAATGAAATTCAGCATAGGAGAATGAGGCCCTTGTGTGTGGAATTGAGCCTTTACAGCAAGTGTCCTGTGCTTTTTTTTTTCCCCCGTGACCTGCAAAAGCAGCAGAGTGTACTGATGTCCGTGATCACAGGGGAGGCAGTGGCATCCCTTAGGACCATGGATGACAAGCAGGTGTTACAGCAGTGCATGGGCGTCCTTCGGGAGCTGTTTAAGGAGCAGGTGAGAAAAACCCTCCTTGAGAGGATTAACATGCTTATTGTGGATGTGATCTGAGCAGGTGGGACTGGAAGCCAGTCTGCATTACTGAATACAAAGAGATCAAGACAGGCCACATTAATTTTCCTTGCAGTTTCCCTCTCCACATGAATAACCAGCTGAGTATCGGGACTGCCATAGCAAAATGCCACAGCATAGGTGCTGAGACTTACTTAGTCATTTATAGTTCCACAGGCTCAGGCCCAGGATTAAGATGTCTAGCTGGGTTGGTCTCTGTAGGACTCCTCATGGTTTACAGATGTTTTCCTTGGTATCCTTGAATCCTTTTCCTTCTGTGTTCTAAAGACAGAGCTGGTCATATTGAATTAGGCCTTCTCTTAACACCCCCATTATAATCCAGCTACCTAGTAAAGATTCACACTTCCAAGTTCGTGCGGATGGACTTAGTACTTAAACTTGTGTCTGTCGGAGCTGTAGAGCAGCAGTCTACAATACGACTGTCATCTTTTTCCCATCACATCAATTACACTATCTTCCTTTCCTAAGACTGTAAAAGGCCACGTTTTCTATAGTTGCCATGTTTACCCAAGCTGTAATGCTTTGACTACAACATTCTTTAAAAAGGAAACGTCTATGTGTATAAATATGCATGCCATTACACACATGTATCGATCAGAGGATAACCCCACTCCTTCCACTATGTTCTAGAGATCACTTAGGTCATCAGGCTTTGGCAGAAGTGCCCTTAGCCACTGAGCTGTCTACTCACCGGGCAACATACAACATTCCTTTTAAAGAAGGATGTTTTCTAAAATGTTCTAGCGCACCACATAAACAAGTCTCTCTACAAGGAGCTCCGGGTACCTTTTTTCATTCTTTGGAGATCTGGAAGTAGCCACGACCTGTCTTCTAATTAAGAGTAGAAACAGAAGTGAAATGACTCAAAATTAGAATTTTGAGGATCATTCAGCTGTTGCCAGTTCTTTGTAAAAGAGGATCTAACTAGTCATATAACGGTGACCCAGTCATGCTCAGCTTTGGTTTTCACCTGGATTTTTTAGTTACTTGGAACTGTAGTTTACAGGAAGTGTTCTCATGTTAAAGCTTGTCAGAGGCCAGTGGACAAAACTAAGTTTAGTTTATAGCCACTGTAACCATTCGTTGTACAGGATGTGTCTTTGCAGGTGAAGCACATAGCAGTGGAGGGATCGAGTGTGGCTGGGAAAGGGAGAGTTAATGGGAAGGAGGGGCAGACGTGCTGCTGCTTAGGAGGCTACCACAGTGAACTCAGGCCTACAAGAGGAGAAAGTTCTTTCCAATTGGGTTGTGGTGTATCTAAGTTCCTTTTTGATCCTTTTTTAAACATAATTTTTTGTTTTCACATAAGGAGATCCCAGATCCCACCAAGTATTTTGTCACACGGTGGAGCACAGAGCCATGGATCCAGATGGCATATAGTTTCGTCAAGACATTTGGAAGTGGTGAGGCCTATGACATCATTGCTGAAGAAATACAAGGAACTGTCTTTTTTGCTGGTGAGGTACATATCTTGACATCAAACCCAATCTTTTTATTTTCAGTAAAAATGGCTCAGTATTAAAACCCAAGTCAAGTATGTTTGAATGTCTCATGACTGCACATGGTAGAAGCCCTGTCCATTCTGAAAGCCTGCCTTATATTTCTCCTAGCAGCCATTTTTAACTGTCTAGTTTCCTGTGAACAGATCATTCTTGTAGGTGTATCTTCCTCTTATTTATATTGACATTGTATGATTTAATATTACACTCTGGCTTGCTCTGTTATATTAAAAATATAGCTTATTTAGTCTCTATGCACCATTCTTTTAATGCAGCTATTTTACTTAGTTGGTATCCATGCTCTTTTAAGACCAGGCCTCACTCTATAGTCCAGGCTGGATTGCAACAATCCTCCTGCCCCATACTCTGGAGAGATTCCAGGTGTGAGCCAACACACTTGGTTGGTATCTGTGTTTTTAACTGTCATGTGCAATGGAATGTTTACTGCTGAGCCAAGGTGTTCATGGGTTCCATTATTAAACAGCTTTCTGCTTTCTTGATAGCTGTTTTGGTGCCTGTCTCCCATACCCTTCAGTCAACTCCAATTTACAATTCACGCAGATCTCCCTCCTGGCTGGCTTATTATCTGAAACCTTCCAGTCTTTGCACTATTCACTGACAGATTATAGTATGGTCTTCTGCTGGGTGAACTCTTAATCTTCTCTAATCTTATCATTAAAGAACTAGTCTTTCACTCCAGCAATTTATTCCTGATCACTTTCTTCCATTTTTTTTTTTTCATCCTTACATCTTCTGTCCTTCAAACTTTTGGATTGCCAACCTTATCTCTTTATTCGACTTTGGAAGAGATGTTAGGTAATCTTTCCACTTTTAACTTTTTTATTGCCATCCCATTCTGACTCAACAATTGTCTCATTAGTTATTTAGGCTTTTGAGAAAGGTTTCCTGTTTTCCTTGCTGCTTGTGAGGCACATCTGAAAAGCCTTCATAGCTCCAGCAGCGACAGCACTGCCTGGAAACCTTTTCTATAGTAGCTTTGCTTTTGGCATTTTAGATGCTGGAAGGCTCAGTGGTAATTAGGAAGGATACTTTGTATTTAACAGAATGCCTATGCTTTTCTGAGAAGAGGGGGCATGTTTGGAGGGGTAAATGTGTGCCAGAGCTCAGCCTGAGGTGTGCCATTCCGGAGCTGTCCACCTTGGGTTTTTGTTTTGTTTTACGGAGACAGGGTTTCATAGGCGTGGAGTTTACCAAGTGGATTATGCTTGCTGGGCAGAAAACACTTTAGAGATCCACCTTCCTTGAGTTGAGGATAAGGGTGTGCCACTCACTATATCAGGCTTTGTAGACATGTAGATCCCTGTGTTGAAGAGGAGGGACATCATCATCATCTGCTCCCTAGACCTAAGTGCTTTGGAGACCACCTACTTCTTGCACTGCTATGCTTCAAGCCCCAAAGGCTGACATTTCCCAGTCTTTGTAGAACTGTTTTGCCTTTTGACAGCCTCTGTTCTCTATCCCATCATAAAGGCAGCTAGCTCTATTACAAGTCTGCCTGCAGTCATACTCGGTCTATTGTAATCTGGGATTACAAGTCTAGTTGTATCAGAAACTGTTTGACAGAGACATCTTAAGCCAGCTGAGCAAGTTGCACATACTGGCCATATACCAGGCAGTATTTGCCATCTCTTCTAGAGATGGTAGTTTTAGGCTAAGATAGGATTTATTTACTCTTTGCTTTCCCTGGGTAGTTGTTCTCATGTTCTTCTGAACACTAACTTCTGAGGCTTCTGTGATTCATACTTTCTCCCCAGTACTTTACTTTTACTGTCCTAGATAGTATTTCTACGGATGCCAGAGTACTTGGCAGGGACTTCAGATACATGTTGTAGAAGTCTGGTAAAGCATAGTGAAAGAAGTCAAGGTTCAAGGCTCCGTCATGAACACATCTTTTTTAGGTATACCAGAAAAAGAATAAGGTCATATGACCTGTTGATGTCATCAATTCTTTATGCACAATCTGAAAGTTTCTTTTTTCCCCCACAGGCAACAAACAGGCATTTCCCACAAACTGTTACAGGGGCATATTTGAGTGGTGTTCGAGAAGCAAGCAAGATTGCAGCCTTTTAAAAAAAAACATGTATGGACTTGAGCTTTCTTCTGTGTCCCAAATGGAAAAGTTTAAAACACAAGTTGAACTTAAGTTTTGTAAGAGAGAGGAGACTGTATAGTAAAACTGAAATGTTTCTGTGGTGATAGGAAAATGTAAACCCATTTCACTCTTCTGAAATCACTGACCCTCAAAATCCTTCTAGGCACTTCTATTTAATTTTATTTTTCCATAGGCCCAATTAATGCTGAGTCCTGTGGTTTTCAGAAGGTGGCACAGTGTAACCTAACATTGAGACCTTCATTCTGGTTGGGGGGTTCCCTTCAAACTGGACATTCTAGTTGGCAGATTACTTTTCATATATTGTGAAACCAGGTAATCCAGCAGGGGTCACTAGCAAACTTAGAGAAAGCCATGTGTTTTTCTGTGACAATTTATCAGTACCTTTACCAATGAGCCTTAATATTTTTACACAGCTCCAATCTTTGGGCTTTTCTTAAAATTTTAATTCTTTTTTGATACAATTTGAAGGTATGACATGAAGCTTCTAGGCTATTTTATACTACATATATTTCTTTTCATTGGGTATTCAAAACTTAAGATTCAGGTATATTTTGATATTTTAGATCTGTGCATTCATTAGGAACACAAGACTCACAATCCCTTAACAGTGAGTGTATATGTTACATTCTCAATGCGAACAGAATGTTTTCACACTATAAAACAAACTAAAACCATTTTTGGGTGGGTAGCATACTTGAAATTTGGCAAAAACCTTGTCAGAATAATTAAAAGCCCCTCTTCACTTATTTTTAAAGTGACTTTCACAGTGTCTAATATTTTATATAGTTTACAGTAAGTTTCCCATAGGCAGGTCCACTGGAAAACTGCACAACAATTTATCTTGGTACATAGCACATACTTTAAGCCATATGTTAAAGTCTGAACACGGCAAAACTTTTCCACTTCAAGATTCAACATGGGTTTCAGGGTCTTTTAGATACCTATTCTGCCAAGAAACTTCAGTTGACAAACTAGAAATATGCTTTTGTTTTAAAAAGTCTTTGAACAATTCTTTGAATTATACTGATCTGGTTTTAAAAGGGGCTATACAAAGGTCTTGAAAGCCACCTTTTGAACTTAGGTATTTCTGAAACTCAAAACTTTGCTTGTTAACATAAGATCTTACACGGAGAATGTACAGTGAAGTGAGCTCTAGACAGTCTAGATATACACCCTCCCCGTCAGAGTATGACACAAGCCAATGACTACATATTTAAAAGTTAATTACTCACTGTACTTAGAGGTTATTTGTTGAGACTCATTGGTACTGATAAGGGAAGTATTCTGCTTTAAAGTGTAAGTAATTAAAATGTTTAGTGTATGTGAAGTGATAAATGCAAAATGTTAAAAAAATTTCAGTCTAAGTTAGTTTCTAGACACTTGAGCTTGTATTACGCCATTTCGTATAAATGTGTATTTAATTTCCTCCCCGTTTTAAGTGACAAAATTTCCTATTTTGTTCTACAGGAACTATGGTACTTTTGAGTTACTATATTTTTCAACCTCTAAGGTTTCTGTTAATGAGAGCTGGGCAGTGGTGGCGTACACCCTTAATCCCAGCACTCAAGAGGCAGAGGCAGGCAGATCTCTGTGAGTTCAAGGCCAGCCTGGTTTACACAGTAAGTTCCAGGACAGCAAGGGCTGTTTCACAGAGAAACCCTGTCTCCAACAAACCAAAAAAAAAAAAAATTTTTTTTTTGTTTATGAGAACTGTATACTTACAGCGATAACTACACATCATGAATAATTGGTTATGTAAAACTACATAAGGACTTTTGCAAATACCTTTAATAAATGGTTATAGCATCATTGTCAACTTTATTTCCAATTCTTTTAAACTTTTGGTCATAAGCACTTACTACCTATTTCCATTTCTTTAATAGTAAACAGTCATTTCAAAAGTGGTCAGTTAGCCGGTGGTGGTGGTACACGCCTTTAATCCCAGCACTCGGGAAGCAGAGCCAGGTAGATGGATCTCTGAGTTAGAGGCCAGCCTGGTCTACAAAGCGAGATCCAGGATAGGCTCCAAAGTTACACAGAGAAACCTTGTCTCAAAAAAACAAACAAAAGTGGTCAGTTATTACTAAAGAACTCCAAGTCACAGAATTGGGGACTAATCCTCCCACACCCCAAAGAATAACACGAAAACAAATAAATTAAAAGACTAAATACAAGACATTTAAAACATCAATTTATCTTTATTGCCAAGATTTATAACAAATTATTTAAAAGTAAAGGCCAATTTTTAGTCCCCATTTAGTTACTTCCTCCATTTCACTCTAAGCATACTAAAGTCGAATATGTAAAAATACCTGTTAATGCTCAACATTATTTTAATATATTTGATTTACGATGTGAAAATTAAACACTCAGTTGGTACATCAATTGTCAAGCAGCTTATTTTTATAATTCAGAAATAATTTCTCAGGACAGTCAAAAGACAAAATTTAAATTCAGGGACAGTCCATGTTTATCACTTAAAAATCTTGATTGACCAAAATTTAAAATCAAACAGCCTTGATTCCATAATACTTACTTCAAAGAAATTTAATGTATGGTTTTTTGAGAAATACTTTCAAAGATACCTACATTCCCGGCATTACCATCTGATAACTTTTATACTATCTTCTGGCATTACATCTGATGATACTTTCAATCATAATTATGAAGGAAGTCAGGTATCTACGATTTATATGGTCAAAGTTTAGTTACTACCAGTTCACTTATATAAGCCAAGTGTGCTCACCCTTCCCCAGTTTTTGAAACTTGATGTGTTGATTTTGGTTTATCCTCAATATAAAATTTCTATGACACTTTTAACATACCACAAAAATTGATGACACTTTCAGGGCAAAGCAGAACTGGACAGTCCTTCAGTGCTGCAACACTGAACTAACTGCTCTGTTATGCTGCCTGGCTGAACACTGACATTCTTTAGTTACAAGACATCTACCTACATGAGTTTAAAAATTGATCTGCACAAAAGAAATTAAAAAAAAATTATATACAACAAATTGGTTTTTAAAAATACAAAAATAACATCTGTCACTTCTGTCATGCTGACAACCTGACATATATATGCATGCGTGAAAAGTTCCAACTCGGTCATCTGAACAGCTGTGCTCTAATATGATGAAGAAACTGCCACTACGTTTTCACACTGACAGAAGGTGTATTCAAAATATCTCATATACTAAATACTGCAATAGTCTCTGCACGTATAAATGCTGGTTATAGTTACATAGTTTTTGCTTCAATTAAAAGTGTCTTAAGCTAACATTAAGTGCACTAAAATTCACAACAGTTCAGAAATCTATGACCTTACAATAAAGAAATCCAAAACGTACAACTATAAAAAGCAAGGAACATTTACTGCCATGCAAGACTTTAAACTGAAAACTGCAAGGAAATGCAATTTAAAACAGCAAGCTCAAATATATGTAACACTCAAAAGGGTCAGCAGCGAGTTCTACCAACAATAGACTTAAAAAAGAAAATACATTCTCTTTGCTGGTATAAATCGTATCTTCAAATCTTAGAACAAGCCATCTGTCCTCTAGCTTAAGAGATTAGCTGCAATAAAAAAAGAAAACCGCTTTACCATACCCAACACACAAAATCAAGTATGCATACATCATAAAATCTTACTCGCATCATATTAATGTGACCTTGGGAAATCAGGTGAGCTAAATATGAAACAGTGGTTACTGCTGACCTTGGGCCTTGGAGTGACTTACCCTGAAGCTAGTAAGTACCTCAGAGATACAAAGCTACCATGTGTACTATGAACCTATCTTAATCTAAGCTAAGGTTCTATCAAAACTAAACAAACTTACTAAATATAGTTCTTCATCTATGTTTATTAACAACCCTGGGACATCAAATTGTGATTTTCACTGAAATGAATAGTTAAAAAAATGCAATATTTGATAAACTTTTGGTTTCTATGCCAAGTGATCAAGTAGGAAAAAGGAAAATATTTACCTCTTTTACAGTTGTTTTAATGAAATCTTTCCTCTCAGTTAAATCATAAGCAGGATAATTTTCATATACCTAAAAACATTAAAAGCAGATTTAAAAGTCTGTAATACTGTCTTTGAATTAAAAGTAAACATGTAGATTTTAAATGTTCTCTGGTTCACTACAGACTTGTACCTGTAAATGACATTTACTGTATTCAAAGCAATAAAGTCAACAGACATTCTCGGTGCTTTACAACTTCAAAGTAGTACTGAATCAAAAACACAGGTAGGAAATATTGGCAGGCTACCTGTGGAGTGTCTTTTAGAGGTCCTAGTCTCCATAGCACCCAATATTCTGCTTAGGATTCTACAGTTTGAACTCCAACCTCTACTCATTATACTCAATCCTCTTAATTAAATCATGAAAATCCAAATAGTCTCATGAGTGCTTTACTCCTAGAATTTAAACTAACTTGCCCCCAATTTTTTTAAGTCTCAAATCTATTATTGCTTATCTTCCAGTCTGAACTCATACTGGAAGTCTGCAAGTACCCTGCAGCTGAACTCTTACCCTCATTTAGGGCCTATAAAACTTTTACTATAAATGGACAAGCAAGAAAATGTTTGGGGCTTTGCTAGTCAGTCTTCTGTTACAACTATGCAACTGTGCAGATGTATGAGATAGATATATTCATATAAGTAGGTATACTACCAATACGAATAGGTGTAGCTGCATTATAAAACTTTATTCACAAAATGCGACATGATGATAAAGATGACCTAATAGTTGGCCTGTCTTTGCAAACAAGTCCCATTTATGTCACTGCAACTAACTACAACCCTTTAATATATTAAGTTGTACTACTCATTTCCTTACTGATGGTCATTTACGCAGCTTCTGGTTTTTCAGTATTTATAGACAAGCTGAATGAACACTATCAGCATCATACAACTATGCCTTTAAGGAAAGGCCTTGAAATGGAATAGCTAGATTAAAGGGTACGTGCAATCTAAATTTCAATACACTCTGAAAAGTCCTTTAAAAGAAGCGGTTACAATTTAAACACAAGTAGTACTTGTTTTGCCTTCTTTGCTACCAATGAAAACTGTCAATCTCTATAGTGCTCCGTTCATTCTAATAAGCAAAACTTATTTCCTTCTAATTTCTGTGTCTGATAAAAGGCCCCTTCAATGTTTATAATTCTTATATCTCTCCTAAAGTGGAGAACCAGTGTTCATTTGCATGTTCCAAGAACTCCATTCTCGAAGTATCTAAAATAACATATCTTTTAAACTATCCTATCTGTTCTAGTCTCAATTATGATCACTGCTACCTGGGACTGGTAGCATCCACAACGAAGAAGCCTTTGATTAGGCTTATTTGTGATGAGGTAAGGCAGTCCCATGGCTTGTGTCCTGTGCATGTTAGTAATGAGTGTCCTATCACTGGGCCACCAAGTACCCCCAGTCTCATACTGTTGCTTTTCTGCCTCTATCATCTTTTGTCAGATCGACCTTTTTTGATGTTTGTAGCGTAACTTTAAATAATGTAACTATCAAGCCTGGAGTACTATACACTTTTAATCCTAGTACTTAGAAGGCAGAGGCAGGCAGATCTCTGAGTTGGGGTCCAGCCTGGTTTACACAGGGAGACCCTGTCTCAAAACAAACAACTATTATGTTACATCCCTTTCAACTATCTCAGTATTCTACCCAGATTCTCAATCCCTTAGTTTTGAGAACACTGAAGTTAGTTCCAACGCATCTACAGATTTTCAAAACTCTAGTTCTCTCCTTACTGCAAAGACTTCCTTGGAATCCTAGTTTTGAGATAAATTATTTTTCTTTTTTTTTAATCAAGGGATTTTTTATTCCTTTTATATACCAACCACAGATTCCCCCTTTCTTCCGCCCTCCCTTCCCCTCCCCAAATGACTGCTTCTTACAGTCATTATTTCAGTGACTATGTCACTGTTCAACAATAAAGCAGTGGTTCTTAACCTGGGAGTTGAATGATCCTTTCACACCAATCACCTAAGACCATCAGAAAACAGATATTTACATTACAATTCATAGCAAAATTGTAGTTATGAAGTAGCAACAAAAATAATTTTATAGCTGGGCGGTGGTGGCGCACGCCTTTAATCCCAGCACTCGGGAGGCAGAGCCAGGCGGATCTCTGTGACTTCGAGGCCAGCCTGGGCTACCAAGTGAGTTCCAGGAAAGGCGCAAAGCTACACAGAGAAACCCTGTCTCGAAAAACCAAAAAAAAAAAAAATAAAAAATAATTTTATGGCTGGGCGTCACAACATGAAGTATATTAAATAAAGGGTTGAAGCATGAGGAAGGTCGAGAACCACTGCTGTAGAGAAAAGGTTTATTATTTTGTTATTCTATTATTTAATTTACTTATTATTATTCTAGTATTTTGGGACTCAGTGAATAATTCTAGATGCTTTTCCATATTCTTTCAAGCCCTGGCCCCCATTCCCAGGTAGGAATGTTTGTTCTGTGGTGCTGTACTCCTACCAAGGTGTTCCAACAGTTTGCACGCACAGCCCTCTGCTGGAATATTTTTCTCTACCTCACTAACAGCAGGCATATTTAAAGACAAGTAATGACTTCCCTGCTTTCTCTCTTAACACCTAGTCTTAGCTTGGCATGTAGTAAAGGCTCAGTTGAATGTCTAATAAAGTAAAAAAAATAAATTCAATAAAAGCATAGACTATTTTACCTTTGGTGTATTTCAAATTAACCTTTATTTAATCAAAAGAAACTAGATTTTTAAATCTCCAACTATACCTACAATATGGACAATGACTCATTCAAGACTAACACATTTTATTTCCAGAGA